TTTAGAGAGAGAGAGGGGGGGGGTTTAGAGAAGAGGGGGTGAGAGAGAGGAGGGGGGTAAGGAAGGGGAGGTTAGAGAGAAGGGGGGGGGGGGGGGGAGAGGAGAGAGTGAGAGAGGAGGGGGTTTAGGGGAGGAAGGAGGGGGGGTGGGGAGAGGAGGGGGGGGGGGTTTTTAAAGAGGAGAGAGGGGGGGTTTTGAGAGAGAGAGAGAGGGAGGGAGGTAAAGAGAGAGAGAGGAGGGGGTTAGAGAGGGAGGGGGGGGTTAGAGGAGAGAGGGGGGGGGGTTTTAGAGAGAGAGGGAGGGGGGTTGGAGGGGAGGGAGGGGGGTTTTAGAGAGAGAGAGAGGAGGGAGGTTAGAGAGAGAGAGAGGAGGGGGGGGTTAGAGGAGAGGGAGGAGGGAGGAGGGGGGGAGGGGGGGAGAGGAGGGGAGGGAGGTTGAGATAGAAGGGGGGGAGGTTGGGGAGGGGAGAGGAGGAGGGGGGTTAGAGAGAGAGAGAGGAGGGGGTTTTAGAGGGGAAGTGCCATCAAGCTGAAATTTTTGTGACCTGTCCCCACAAGAAAAAGGGCAACCGGAAAACAAACCCCCATTGTAAATAAAACCCATTTTTGTTTTTTTTTTCCCATTTTACTTTAACTTTTGCCATTGTTAAACACTGTAAATACAAAATGACATTTAAAATTTTTATTCTTTTGAAATTCTGAGTGTAATGACTTTAATTTTTTATTGTTTTTTTTTCACTTTTGTTTTATATTATTTCATTTTTGGCAATTTTAACACACTTTTCCCCATCCCAAAATAAAGCCCTTAAATTGAAATTAAAATTAAATTGAATTGAAATTTGAATGAAGAGGAGGGGGGTTAGAGGCGAGGAGGAGGGAGGTTAGAGAGCGAGGGGGGAGGAGGGGGGGTTTTTGGGGGGCGGGGGGGGAGGGGGGGTTTAGTTTTAGAGAGCGAGAAGGGGGGGTTTAGGGGAGAGAGGGGGGGGTTAGAGAGAGAGGAGGGGGGGAGAGAGAGAGGCCATCACAGCGAAAATTTTGGCCCTGTGGCACAAAAAAGGGCAACAGTGAAGAACAAAACCTTTGAAATAAACCCCAATTTTTATGTTTATTTATTTTTCCATTTTATTTTAAAAATATTTGCATGTTAAAAAAACCTGTTATAAATTTAAATAAATTGAAAGTTTTTATTTTTTTAAAAAATTGGTGTAAGTTTACTTTTAAATTTATTGTTTATTTACTTTTTTTTTACATCTACTTCATGCTTGGCAATGTACAAAACTTCCCATGCCAATAAAGGGCCCCTTAAAATTTGAAAGAAATTAATTAAAATTAAAAGAATTGAGGAGGGGGGGTTAGAGAGAGAGGGGGAGGTTAGAGGGAGGAGGGGGGGAAAGGGGAGGGAGGTTAGAGAGCGAGAGGGAGGTTAGGAGAGGAGGGGGGGGTTTAGAGAGAGAGGGGGGAGGGCAGGGGGTTAGAGGGGGAGAGCGGGGGTTAGGAGAGAGAGCGGGGTTTAGGGGGGAAGGAGGAGGGGGTAGGAAGAGAGGCAGGGGGAGAGGGGAAAAAAGGGGGGTTAGAGAGAGAGAGCAGGGGGTTAGAGGAGAGGGGAGGAGGGGGGAGAGGAGAGAAGGGGGGTTGAGGAGAGAGAGCAGGGGTTAGAGAAAAGGGGCCCGGGGGGTGAGAAGAGAGAGAGGGGGGTTGAGAGAGAGCAGGGTTTTTAGAGAGAGAGGGGGAGGTTAGAGAGAAGGAGGGAGGTTAAGAGGGAGAGGGGGGTTAGAGGGGAGAGAGGGGGTGGAGAGAGGGAGAGGGGGGGGGGAGGGAGAGAGCGGGGGGTTAGAGAGAGGGGGGGGGAGGAGAGAGAGGAGGGGGTTAGGAGAGGGGGAGAGGGGGTTAGAGAGAGAGAGGAGGGGGTGAGAGAGAGAGAGGGGGTAGAGAGAGAGAGAAGGGGGTAGAGAGAGAGGAGGGGGTGAGGGGAGGGGGGGAGGAGGAGAGAGGAGGGTGGTTAGAGAGGAGGGAGGGGGTTGTAGAGAGAGGGGGGGGGTTTAGAGAGAGGAGAGGGAGGGGGGTAGGAGGAGAGAGAAGGAGGGAGGTTAGAGCAGAGGAGGGAGGTTAGAGAGCAGAGAGGTGAGAGAGGAGGGAGGTTAGAGGAGGGGTAAGGAGAGGAGGGAGGGAGAGAGGGGGGAGGTTAGAGAGGAAAGGAGAGGTTAGAGGCAAAGGGAGGGGGAGGAGGGAGGGAGGAGAGAGAGAGAGAGAGGGGGGGAGAGAGAGAGAGAGGGAGGGGTTAAGAGAGAAAAGGTTCAAGCGAAAAAGGGGGGTTTGGAAAGAAAAGGGAAATTTGAAGAAAAAAAGTTAAAAAATAAGGTTTAAAAAGAAATTGGAAGGAAAGGTTAAAAAAGAAGAAAGGGGATTTTGAAAGGGGGAGAAGGTTAAGAGAAATTTTTGGGGAAAAAGGGGTTGAATGAAAAGGGGGAGGAGTTAAGAGAGAAAAAGGGGGGATTAAAGGAAAGTATAAGTGAAGATTGGGAGTGGGAAAGGAAAAGGGCAACAGGAAGAAAAAATTGAAATAAAAGGGGTTTAGGAAAATTTTTTGACAAGAAGGGAAAAGGGGTTAAACAGGGGGGGTTTGAAAGAATTTTTTGAAACCGGAGGGTTAAAGAAAAGTAACAAGGGGGTTTAAAAGGGGATTGCTGGAAGGTTAAAAGGTTAGAACCAAGGGGGAAAATTGAAAAAGAGGGGAGGTTAGAGAGGAGGGAGGGAGGAGAGGAGGAGGTTAGGGGAGCGAGAGAGGGGGGGAGGTTAGAGAGGGGGAGGGAGGGGTTAGAGAGGGGGAGGAGGAGAGGAGGGGGAGGTTAGAGGGGAGAGGGGGGGTTAGAGAGCGAGAGGGGGGAGGGGGAGAGGAGGTAGAGAGAGAGGGAGGGGGGTTAGAGAGCGAGGGGAGGGGGGTTTAGTTAGAGAGCGAAGAGGAGGGAGGGTTGGGGAGCGAGAGAGAGAGGAGGCTTAGTAGAGAGCGAAGAGAGGAGGGAGGTTAGAGAGCGAGAGAGGAGGGAGGTTAGAGAGCGAGGAGGAGGGAGGTTAGAGGGAGGGGGATTGGTTTAGAGAGGAGAGAGGTAGGGAGGTTAGAGAGCGAGAGAGGAGGGAGGTTAGAGAGCGAGAGAGGAGGGAGGTTAGAGAGCGAGAGAGGAGGGAGGGTTAGAGAGCGAGAGAGGAGGGAGGTTAGAGAGCGAGAGAGGAGGGGGTTAGAGAGCGAGAGGAGGGAGGTTAGAGAGCGAAGAGAGGAGGGAGCGTGAGAGAGAGAGAGGAGGGAGGTTAGATAGAGAGAGGAGGAGGTTAGAGAGAGAAGGGAGGTTAGAGAGAGAAAGGGAGGTGTAGAGAGAGAAGGGAGGTTAGAGAGAGAAGGGGGGTTAGAGAGAGAGGAGGGGGTTAGAGAGAGAGGAGGGGGGATTAGAGAGAGAGAAGGGAGGTTAGAGAGAGAGAGCGAGGAGGGAGGTGAGAGAGAGGAGGGAGGGATGAGGGAGGTTAGAGAGGAGGGAGGTTAGAGAGGAAGAGAGGAGGGAGGTTAGCGAGAGAGGAGGGAGGTTAGAGAGAGAGGAGGGAGGTTAGAGAGAGAGGAGGGAGGTTAGAGAGAGAGGAGGGAGGTTAGAGAGAGAGAGGAGGGAGGTTAGAGAGAGAGAGGAGGGAGGTTAGAGAGAGAGAGGAGGGAGGTTAGAGAGAGAGAGGAGGGAGGTTAGAGAGAGAGAGAGGAGGGAGGTTAGAGAGAGAGAGAGGAGGGAGGTAGAGAGAGAGAGCAAGAGGAAGGAGGTTAGAGGATGATAGAGAGGTAGAGAAAGCAGGAATGAAGATACAGTAGAGAGAGAAGTAGGCGGCGTAGAGAGTGAACGATGTGTTCCTACAGGGAGCATGTTATTATGGTATTAGTGAGTTGGCACAGAGCTGCAGCTAAAAAGGCACTGGGCATCACTCACTCTGACAGAGCAGAGCAGAGCAAGGTACACACACCCAGACACGTTACAGCCTAAGCTCTCTACCCCCTCTCCCTCTCCTTCCTCCGTCTGTTTAATACTCTGAAAACGCCACACATCCATGACAACTGGTCAGTGTACCTAATACACCCTATTTCCTAGTGCACTACTTTTGACCAGGACCCATTGGGGTTTGTCAAAAGTAGTGGTATTACACTAAATTGGTAACATGGTGCCATTTGGGACGCAGCCATGCAGTTTCTCTTCAGTGCCCCTCTTCCTCCAAGCCCACATCCCTCTTCCTCCAAGCCCACATCCCTCTTCCTCCAAGCCCACATCCCTCTTCCTCCAAGCCCACATCCCTCTTCCTCCAAGCACACATCCCTCTTCCTCCAAGCACACATCCCTCTTCCTCCAAGCACACATCCCTCTTCCTCCAAGCCCACATCCCTCTTCCTCCTCCTACACCTTTTCAGTCTCCCTCTAGCACAGGGGTGTCAAACTCATTCCATTGAGGGCCTGGTGTCTGCTGTTTTTTTGTTTTTCCTTTCAGTTAAAGCCTTGACAACCAGGTGAGGGGAGTTCCTTACTAATCAGGGACCTTAATTAATCAATCAAGTACAAGGGAGGAGCGAAAAACCCGCAGACACTCAGCCCTCCATGGAATGAGTTTGACACGTGCTCTAGCACATCTCCCTCTGTCCATTATATAATGTTCCCTCTTCCTTATGTTTCCATTAGTTCCAGAGACAGGATGAAAGAAGAGGGGAAGAGACGGATGGAAAGGGATGAGAAGGAAGATTATTTCTCTGTTCTCCCTCTTCCAGCTCCAGTGAGAGGTGAGGGGGCTGCACGGTCGTCATGACTCCTGTCATCATGGCAGCAGAGATCGGTTATAAACAGGAGATGTACAGCTGATGCTGTGTGATATGACGCAGTCAAGTCATCATAGCAACCACCTACAGGCTGTTACATGTGGATGTGAGTTTGAGCGTGTGTGTAAAGCAGAGTTTGGGTTGAGATTTCAATGCACTTCAACAGAGACTATATATGAATTTAATACTTTTAATCAATTCCATATTTCTTCTTACTTACAATGACAGAAAATGAAATGGCCATTGAGATAAACCTTCAAACATGCACAATAAGAAAAAACTACATTCTCTCTCCATGTTTTGCCAGTGGAGTTTTGTTCAAATAAAATCAGCAATAGAAAATCAAAGTCACTCATGCATCGACCCCTGAAGCACACCAAGTTTGGGGGAGCATGGACGAGTCCACATGCTCTGTCTAGGATGGATGGTCAATCTGCTATTGGCAGTGGTTTCTAAATTATACTGAGCTACCCAACACCCCTCTTCTCTCACGTTTGGTCAGCATTGCTCAACCTCATACAGCACCTCTTCCTCCCTCCTCCTTTCTCTCTTTCCCTCCCTCCTTCATGCAATAGTCTAAAGTGGCTTCTCAACTCCTCTCCTACATCTGCAAAAACATAGATGGTGACAGCAATATGGTGGATGACCTCCAGGAATGTACTTTCATTAACATCAGTGCAGCCAAAGCGGAGACAAGGAGAGGAAAACTTGTTAAGACTATTGAGATACACATTTCTTTCTACTCCTCTCTCAGGTGCTGGTCAAAATCTCCCCTCCTCCCTCTTTCTCCCTCTCCTCTCCTTTCAGGTGCTCGTCACCTCGATTTTCCTCTTTCAACTCCTGTTTTATGCTGCCATCTTTGTTCCCATTCTCTGTCTCCCCCTCCATATCCTCCTCTCCCTCTTTCACCTCCTTCTCTCCCTCCCTGGGTCCCTGCCCCTGTTTGTCTCTGAATACCTCGACCCCCAGCATGCGGAGGTAGTGGAACCTCTCGTTGCGGGGCACGAAGGCTCTGATGGAGGTCTTGCCTCTCCAGCCACACAGCTCTATAGGACACTGAGGACCATCAGGGTTACTGAGGAGAGAGGGGGACAGGGGGGATAGAGGGAGAGATGGGGGGGATAGAGGGGGACAGTGACGGAGAGAGGAGAGAGGGAGAGGAACGGTGAGGGAGAGGGATAGAGGGAGGGGACGGTGGTGAGGGAGAAAGGAGGGGACAGTGGTGAGGGAGAAAGGAGGGGACAGTGGTGAGGGAGAAAGGAGGGGACAGTGGTGAGGGAGAAAGGAGGGGACAGTGGTGAGGGAGGGGGGATAGAGGGAGAGGACATGAGGGAGAGGGGGGGATAGAGGGAGAGGACAGTGAGGGAGAGATGGGGGGATAGAGGGAGAGGACGGTGAGGGAGAGATGGGGGATAGAGGGAGAGGACGGTGAGGGAGAGAGGGGGGGGGGTAGAGGGAGAGATGGGGGATAGAGGGAGAGGACAGTGAGGGGAGAGATGGGGATAGAGGGAGAGGACAGTGAGGGAGAGGACGGTGAGGGAGAGGGGGGATAGAGGGAGAGGACGGTTGAGGGAGAGATGGGGATAGAGGGAGAGGACAGTGAGGGAGAGATGGGGGGATAGAGGGAGAGAGGACGGATAAGGGAGAGGATGGTGAGGGAGAGAGGGGGGGTTAGAGGGAGAGGACGGTGAGGGAGAGGGGGGATAGCGGGAGAGGCCGGTGAGGGAGAGGGGGGATAGAGGGAGAGGCCGGTGAGGGAGAGGGGGGGATAGCGGGAGGAGGACGGTGACGGTGAGGGAGAGGGGGGACAGAGGGAGGAGGACGGTGAGGGGAGAGGAGTGAGGGAGAGGAAGGTGAGGGAGAGGAGTGAGTGGAGTGAGAGGAAACGTGAGGGAGAGAGAGGGGGGCGGTATAGAGGGAGAGGACGTGAGGGGAGAGAGAGGGGGGGGGTAGAGGGAGAGGACGTGGGGGATAGAGAGGGGGGGGGTAGAGGGAGAGGACGTGGGGGATAGAGTGAGAGGGTGATCAGGGTGAATTCTCTGATAACAGTTAATATAACATACACACAGACAGGCAAACAAAATGGACACTTACCTTTTGTCAGGCCGGTACTTTAACACAATGCTGCCCATTCCTGTGGAAACACACAGGAGAAAAACATGAAGCACTTACTAGTAATACAGACATGAATGGGCCAACACCCAACATGGCATTAGACACAGATCATGGCTTTCCAGTTGAGAACACACACCTATCTTCTTGGCCTGTTGGTGAGCGTCCTCCTCCAGTTTGCTGAGGTATGGGTTCTCCTGAGTAAGTAGAATCTTGATGTCCTCAACACTCACTGTGATCATCCTGGAGCGGATGTAGGGAAAAAGAGTATAGATACCCTGGAGGAGGAGAGGGGGATGAGAATATGAGAGGGGGATGAGGAGAGGAGGGGGGGTGAGGAGAGGAGGGGGGGATGAGGAGAGGAGGGGGGGATGAGGAGAGGAGGGGGGATGAGGAGAGGAGAGGGAGGAGGATGAGGAGAGGAGGGGGGGATGAGGAGGAGGAGGAGGAGGGAGGAGGGGGGGGTGAGGAGAGGAGGATGAGGAGAGGAGGGGGGATGAGGAGAGGAGGGGGGGATGAGGAGAGAGGGGGGTGAGGAGGAGGGGAGGATGAGGAGAGGAGGGGGGTGAGGAGAGGAGAGGAGAGGAGGGGGGGATGAGGGAGAGGAGGGGGGGATGAGGAGAGGAGGATGAGGAGAGGAGGGAGGGATGAGGGAGGAGGGGGGGGGATGAGGAGAGGAGGGGGGTGAGAGAGGAGGGAGGATGAGGAGGGAGGGATGAGGAGAGGGGGAGGGGGGGGATGAGGAGAGGAGGGGGGGAGAGGAGAGGGGGGAGGAGGAGGAGGGAGGGAGGGAGGAGGGAGGGGGGGGATGAGGAGAGGAGGATGAGGAGAGGAGGGGGGGATGAGGGGGGGGGGGGAGAGGAGAGGAGGGGGAGAGGAGAGGAGATGAGGAGAGGAGGGAGGTGAGGAGAGGAGGATGAGGAGAGGAGGAGGAGGAGGAGGAGGGGTGCGTGAGGCGGGGAGAGGGCTGTAGTGAAGGGAGAGACGGATGAGGAGAGGAAAGGGGGGATGGGTGAGGATGAGGAGGATGAGGAGAGGAGGATGAGGATGAGGATCGGGATGAGGAGAGGAGAGGGGGATGAGGAAGAGGAGTAGAGAGGTGATCGAGGAGAGGAGGGGGGATGAGGAGTGAGGAGGATGGGGAGGGGATGAGGAGAGGGGGATGGGAATATGAGAAGGGGATGAGGAGAGGAGGGGGGATGGGAGGAGGATGAGGAGAGGAGGGAGGGATGAGGAGGGGGGGGGGCTGAGCGAGGGGGGGGGGATGAGGAGAGGAGGGGGGGATGAGGAGAGGGATGAGGAGAGGAGGGGGGATGAGGAGAGGAGAGGATGAGGAGAGGAGGGGATGAGGAGAGGAGAGGAGAGGGGGAGAGCGAGGAATGTGTGTGTGTGCGTGCATGCGTGCGCGTGTACCTACCTCCTGGGCTAGTCTGAAGGCACAGCCAAACTCCTCCCCGTCGCTGTTACGAGACCACACCTTCACCCCTGTGTTGATCACCTGCAAAACACAAAAAATAATGAAATCATTACACTTGAGAATGACATCTGTTTCAGCAACATATTTACAATTGCTTCTCATTTCAACATTTTTATTGTTGTTTTCAATAATAGTGTTGGAGCCAGTTTCTATATTTCTTAAGTTATGCAAATATTTGTTTATTAGGTCATATTTCTCCATTTAGGAAATAAACCATTGCTTCTAAGAAAAGATGTAGTTTCTCCCATCATTGAGACAGAACCCTGTTTAGTATGCTGCATGTATGTCAGTATGTGTGCAGTTCTGGGGACAGTCTGGTGATGGAGACTCAGCCTGTTTGCTACTACTGCTAACCTGGAGGATGATCTGAACCTGGGTCAGGTCTAAACATCACAACATCAGAAAGGAGGGGGGAGATATATAGAAAGAGAGGGTGGAGAGCGACAAGAGAGACAAGGAGCGAGGGGGGAGAGAAGACACGGCGCGAGGGGGGAGAGAGACAAGGAGCGAGGGGGGAGAGAGACAAGGAGCGAGGGGGGAGAGAGACAAGGAGCGAGGGGGGAGAGAGACAAGGAGCGAGGGGGGAGAGAGACAAGGAGCGGGGGGGAAGCAAAGGAGAGCGGGGGAGTAAAGGAGCGGAATAGCGGGAGGGAGGGGTTCTCTGTCTGCTTGGATGCGCACACACCTCACTAGACACACACACGGCCACCTGTGCAGGAGCTTAGTGTACTAGAGGGATTTGGGATGAAAAGGGTCCCATCTGTTAGCTAGACTCCCCTTGATGGGCTGGCAGTGACACACACACAGTTGTTGTTCGGCAGGGCGCCGCTTTGTTCCTTAGAGACCATACAGGTGTCTCACACACACACACCTCCCTACCTTCATGCGTTCACTGTTGTTGAGCATGACGTTGCGTAGCTCCTTGGAGACCATGTACAGGTGTCTCTTCTTGCCCTCATGGGTTCTGGTCAGAACGTTTATCTTAGGGAAGTCTGGAGACAGGTCATAGAAGGACCTGCAAAATACACAATGTTAGATCAATAACCAGGGATCAATCGAAACATGTAAAAGTAATACCATCTATGCTTGGTCAAAACATTGTCCCCTCCATACAGATAATGATGATATCAAGCAGCTGCTTACATAGGCGACACAATCCAACAGAGACCAAACACACTCACTCTATCGGGGGGAAGACGGGGTCGTCTTCAGTGAGGAAGACAAAGGGGTCTTCTTTAAAACCATGCCTCTTCATCTTTTTATTGGGAGGAGGCCTGGAACACAGAACAGAGTCAGAATACACCAAGACAGACACTCTCTCTCTCTCCCTCTCTCTCCCGACTTACCCACACATGTTGGGTTCCTTGGTCTGATCGTCTGCCTCTGGCTCTTTGGGCGAGTCCTCTCCTGCCTCCTTCCCTCCTCCCTCTCTCTCTCCATCCTCCAGGGGTGTCTCAGGAAGAGGGGTGCCCACTGGAGAGTCCTCTGGCTGGGGCACGGAGCTGAACAACTGCTCCTTCCTCAACTGGAGAAAGACAGATCATAGTTCACTTTAACGGGAACTTCTCTCTGGTATATGAGCTACCGGATGGTTTGCATTCCTTCAGATGTGTTAACCAGAAAACAAAGGTGTATGGAGTGTGCGTGTATGAGGTGGGCTTTTCCGCGAGTGTGCCCCCGTGCATGTGTACCTTGGGGAATCTTCTGTTCCAGGGCATGGGAGCGTTCTTGACCAGGACAGCTACAAAGAAGCCACCAGTGTTCTGGTGATGGGGCAGGATCCTCATACTGAACAAACACAACCAAATAGAAATTAGACCCAACAGCACCCTCTGCTGGTAGAAATGAAATCAACACAAACCAGCAACACTTCACAGGGTTTTGATAAGTCTGTCTAGCATTATTATTAATCTCATTAGGATCAAGTATGCATGTATGCAGCTCTATGTAAAGGTGAATGTGCACAGGTGTAGCAAATAAATGTACATGATTGTCAAGACTGACATTTTAGGCATATTCTAACCAAATAAAGTGGGGCCTGTGTGTGTGTGCAGGTGTGTATGCAGGTGAGTGTACCATCTCTCCAACTTCATATTGGCTAGTTTCTCTGTGTCTGTGGGAGGGAACATGGTGGGTCTGATCTGCGTGTGGCGGTTGGCTGGCACCTCGGACCAGTCCTTATACCACTGACCCTCCTTAGTCATCAACTAGAGATGAAAGAAAGAAAGAAAGAGATAGATAGATAGATAGATAAGAGATTATGTGTGTGTGAGAGGTAGTTGTGGATGGAGAGGAGGAGGAGATGGGAGAGCGCAAAAGACTCAGTTATAAATGGCTCTCAATCTGTAGTCAATAATCTGACATGGTGGTGGAATATCATGAATATTGTAGTGGCTAGACTCATGCATATCAAGTACCTCCGCAAGGCACTACAGAGGGTAGTGCGTACGGCCCAGTACATCACTGGGGCCAAGCTTCCTGCCATCCAGGACCTCTATACCAGGCGGTGTCAGAGGAAGGCCCTCAAAATTGTCAAAGACTCCAGCCACCCAAGTCATAGACTGTTCTCTCTGCTACCGCACGGCAAGCGGTACCGGAGTGCCAAGTCTAGGTCCAAAAGACTTCTCAACAGCTTCTACCCCCAAGCCATAAGACTCCTGAACAGCTAATCATGGCTACCCGGACTATTTGCACTGCCCCCCCACCCCATCCTTTTTACGCTGCTGCTACTCTGTTAATTATTTATGCATAGTCACTTTAACTCTACCCACATGTACATATTACTTCAACTACCTCAACTAGCCGGTGCCCCCGCACATTGACTCTGCACCGGTACCCCCTTGTATATATAGCCTCCCTACTGTTATTTTATTTTACTTCTGCTCTTTTTTTTCTCAACACTTTTTTGTTTTATTTGTAAAAAATAAATGCACTGTTGGTTAAGGGCTGTAAGTAAGCATTTCACTGTAATGTCTGGACCTGTTGTATTCGGCGCATGTGACCAATAAAATTTGATTTGATTTGATGTGTTCCAGCAGTTATATACCTTCCATTTGGTGACTCCAGGCATCCATTTTAACCCTGGGAGATCAGCTGACGCATCTGCTAACTCTAATGCACCTGGAGAGAGACAAAGGGAGAGACAGAGGAAGTTATCACCAGTGTGTGTGTGACTCTGTGTGTGTGTGTGAGTCTGTGTGTGTGTGTGCATGCGTTACCTTCACTCTTCTCCAGTAGCGTTGCTATGACAGCTTCGTCCTCTATAGGGTTGAGTGAACAAGTAGAGTAGACCATCCTCCCTCCTACTGCTAGCTGCTCCACACCACGCACTGCTATACGGATCTGGAGACTGGGGACAACACACACATAGGTTAGCACACACACACACACACACATATACAGGCACACACGCACCCACTCTCTCTTTTTCTCCTCACCCATGGAGATGCAGGCTGTTACTGGTGGTCCATTTCTTCCACACGTCAATGTTCTTCCTCATGGTGCCATCGCCACTGGAGAAACACACAGAATACTTCACTTTTTAGGGAATGACGAAAATAGGAACACACTTTTTTTTTTAAAGAGACAAACCCAGCAGAAATAGGGGTTTGTCCACTTCCATGGATCATCTAACTACACATCAGCATTACCAGACAGACAATCCAACAATGTGGTTACAGGAGATCTCTCCCTCCCTCCCTCCCCAGTCTCATTCTTGTGGACATACTTGGTTCCCCTACTAAAAACAAACAAGCAGTAGCCTGCCCAGTGCATCAACCAATCATAGATCAGACAGAAGAGCCAATCATAAGACAGGGTAGAACCATGAGGTTGATATCTCTCCATATATCTTACTGTCTAGAAATACATGTCTAGTTTTGACAGTCTCCCCCCCCGCCTTTCTTTCTCCCCTACTTCTCTCAATCTATTTCTTTCCTTCTCTCAGCTAAGTAGGTAACCAGGTTAACTCTTTACCTGCAGGGGACGTCACAGAGGATGCGGTCGTAGAACAGTGTGTCCTTCTGTCCGTCCTCCGTGTCTATCTGTAGTCTGGGGATGCAGGAGGCATCTTGGTTTACCACCATGATACAGGGGCTGTTCAGTCTCTTAGCCTGGTGCACCAGCAGGTAGCAACGCTTGTTGTCCACGTCGTTGGCTATCACAAAGCCCTCTGAAGAGGGAGAGAAAGAGATAGGGGGAGATAAGGATGTTCAGGATTACAATGTTTAGTTAAATTTTTTTACATTTTAGTCATTTAGCGGACACTCTTATCCAGAGCGACTTACAGGAGCAATTAGGGTTAAGTGCCTTGCTCAAGGACACATCAACTGATTTTTCTCCTAGTCTGCTCGGTGATTCCAACCAGCAATGTTTTGGTTACTGTCCCAATGCTCTTAACTGCTAGGCTACCTGCCTAGTGTATTGTTCGTTTTCACAAAGTGAGAGAAAAACAGAAAAGCTACAGTCAGCAACTTACCGCCTTTTCCATTGAGCAACAGTTCAGATACTCCAATGCATCAGGTTTGTTTGTGTGTGTGTGCGCGTTACCTGGGAAGGGTACGTCCATATCAGAATGGAGCATCTCAATCAACTGGGCCGTCTTGGATCCAGGAGCAGCACACATGTCCAGAATCTACCCACAGACATACACACTGTTACACTACGGTGTTCCCAGGTTTAGGACCTAGGGACAGAAATGGGAGCAGGTCTTGGCCAGAGAGGCGTCCAGTGTGTTGTTTACCTTGTGGTGGGGCTCAATCTTCATCAGCAGAGGAGGGATCATACTTACAGCCTCCTGTCTGCTGATGTTACCCTGTAGAGACCAAGGTAGAGAAAGAAACACCACAGTACATAAGGCACATACAGCTAAGAAACCATTGAGATCCTATTAAATTACTTTCAAATTTTTTATTCTATGTAAGAAACCAAGTCGACTCAACCAGCAGCTCACCTATTGTCTAGTTTAGTTGCTTTAACGTGATGGACATTAGGGCTGGTTTCCCAGACACAGGTTAAGCCTAGTCCTGGATTAAGGAGCTAAGGAGATTGTATGGAAAAACAGCCCAAAATAACACTCAAGAATGGTCTTCCTCACCGACTCGGTCTCACTGACCAGGAACTGATGGAACTTCTCCAGGAGAGGAGACTTCCTCAGGATCTTCCTGCTCATGTTGGTGTGCCACGCTAGCTCATCTGGGTACCTACACACACACACACACACACACACACACACACACACACACACACACACACACACACACAAAGGGTCATCAGCTGTAAGTGTATGTATGTGTGTGTGTACATGTGTGTGTTTGTGTGTTTGTGGGTGTGTGGGTGAGTGTGTGCGTGCGTGCATTTGTACCAGCTCAGAGGCTGAGGAGCCTCTATCTTCTGCCCGTCGATCTCTACCTCCTGGATCTCCTTGAAGTACTTGTTCTTCAGACAGTGGAGGATCTCCTTGGCATGGCTACAGGGGGACAACCCAATGAACATTCATTTTTTATACACTTAAGAGGTTTAATAGAGTGGTGTTTTGGAAAGCAATCTTAATATGTATGAATCCTGATGTAGAGCAAGAGTAGCCTGGTCCTAGACCTGTGTCTATGGTGATTGTCATGTCAAATGATCATGAACACAAACAGATCGGGGTCCAGGCTAAAACAAGAGTGGGGGTGTATAAACTATCATCCCTTTACAAAACATCTACAATGGTAAATTCCAATTAACAGTTTGTCAGCTCACATACAGGGCAAGAAATACCACTTCCATCTGTGCCATAGAGGATCCAGAGTCATGGATGTATCCAGAGTCATGGATGTATTTATTAGTGCACACTAACAAAACGTTTCTCAACAGAAAACATCTGGCAAAAAACAATACTTTCTATTTGACAAATAGATCCCTCCCTGTTTGGTTTAATTTGCTTCCTAGTGAATACACCCCTGAGCTCTTGGCAGAGGTCTAGCTTAGTTGCTTCCCTTCTGTACCTCTTGTATCCAGTTATGCGGATGGTGGCGGGCAGCGGTTCTCTCATAGCCTCCATGAACTGGTCAAACTCCCCCTCAGGCACCAGGCCCAGCTCCTGGTAGTATGCCTCGAACAGCTTGTTCTCCTTGACGATGTCAGTGTAGCCTGCACCCCAGCCCTACAGGTCAGAGACAGGGAAGGAAAGGGATGGAGAGAGGCGAAAGGAGGAGAGCAGATGAGGGGGTAAAGGGAAGTGTGAAGAGGATATCGGTTTTCTGAATTGCAGTCTCAGATGGATAGATCTTGATAGAGTTCACCATCATAGTACAATAACCTGGTCCCAAATCTGCTTTTACTGTATAGCCAACTCCTTGACATGCCAATGATCATAGGAGTTGGCAAGACAGCACAAACATTTTTACATTTAAGTCATTTAACAGACGCTCTTATCTAGAGCGACTTACAGTTAGTGAGTGCATACATTTTTTCCCCCCATACTGGCCCCCCGTGGGAATCGAACCCACAACCCTGGCGTTGCAAGTGCCATGCTCTACCAACTGAGCTACACGGGACCAAGATAAAATAGCTAGCTAGCTACACATCGTTATGTCAACAAGTCATGATAAGCAATGAGTTGTGCAGTAGTAATCAAATCAAAGTTGCTGGGGATAAATGAAATCCTTCTTTGACTCGGCATACAGTAATTTGAGGCTACCTAGCCAAGTTAGCTACAGTACGCTAAAGTTAGCCGGATAGCTATGACGAGCTATCAAAACTTACAGCATTGTCCCTGTTATCCCTTCCACCAGGCTTGCTATTATTTTGATGCTCCTTCTTTCTCTGTCGACTTCTCTTCCCCATTTTGGAAACACACACCACTCTGAATATGAACCTGCGAAGCAACGTTCTGATGTAGCTAAATATATTTTACTAACAGCGTGATTTTTTGGAAACGCAAATGGCACTGCACTCGTGTACTGTTTCTGCCTCTGTCGCACACATGTGAGACAGGACCCCGGTTTATGGGTGGCCATGTATTAGCCTGAGAAATATAAAATGTCAGTGAAACATTTTGGCCAACAAAAACCTAAAACACACTCAAATGTGTTTTCGTTTTGGAGGTAGTCAGACAGTGACAAATTATATGTGGAAAATGCTTGATGTCGCCAAAGCATATTTTTTTGTGCACTGATACCCCTTCCTCCAAACAATGTCTGATCAACGATAGAGTCCATGGCTTATTCCTCGCCAGTTAAGGAAACAAGGGGCAAGGGATATATAATTTGTTTTTGTTTTTTAAACGGCAGTTTGCATAAATATGTTATGGAATTAATCTAAAATTACTGTAATTTTATATTTTTACCACAATGTGGTGGTTTCTCCTGAACACACCTTATAGTTGAATAACATTGTATCCATGTTCTATTGGCTGGATAATGACTATGCAAAACTAAGCGACTCAATTGGTTTATTAGGATTCAGGCTCCTTTATCTGTCCTTATGATTGGACGATGGAACTGGGCAGACCAGTGAGTTGATCGCAGTAGCATACTTGTGCAAGTGACATATGTGTTCATTATTGCCTTGGATACATTCATGTAGTTACATTGTTTTGAATTAAAAACAAATTTCTTACAGTTCTGTCTCTATTTGCAGCTTATCTAGTAAAGATGGAGAGTATTCTTTCAAAGCTTTTCTCCTCCGAGACAGAAGAGTTGTATGTTTTGGACTGCCTGGCATACTTCATGATTTTCATGGCTGCTTGTACCTTCATAACTTTACTCTTTGAGAATGTCCCATATGGCAGATACGCAACAAGCAGATATGGATTCCCCGTCAACGTCAAATTCGCCTGGTTCGTTCAGGAGCTACCTGCTTTTCTGGTGCCACTGTGCCTTGTGCTGTGGACTTCTGCTGCGAAAACCACTCATCTTCCCAATCAGTTACTGCTGGTCATGTACTTCTGCCACTATGTGCAAAGGTAAGACCCAGTGGTTAGTAGATAGTACTTTGTATGCATGTAAAGTACAGTGTTACTTTGACAAACACTACCTGTCATGTCTTCTAGGTCAGTGGTTCTCAAACTTTTTTGGTTACTGTACCACCAACTACATTTTGCTCTGCCCAGAGTACCACCTCATATGCAATTTAATTCTCAATTGTAATAATAACACATGCCTAAATTATGTGCCAACGTTGTAACTGAAATGCAGTGCATTCCCAGCCATGAGACACATGCATCCTAGACAACTGGTGGTGAAATTATTATTAATCGGTTATATTTTTTCTTCTAGATCTCTCATCTATCCATTTTTAATTCGTGGAGGGAAATCTACACCATTTGCATCATTCGCCCTGGCCTTTGTGTTCTGCATCTATAATGGCTACATGCAGGTCAGATACCTGAGCCACTATGCAGAGTACCCTGCTGATTGGGTTACAAGCCCCTGCTTCATCACAGGTAAGAGACATGGCTGACATGACATACAGCATAGGTCTATATTAATGCATAAACCACACATTACACAGTTGTCTATTTCAATATGTTCTATTAATTTATTTATGTATCGGTCCTGATCGCTCTAGAGTTATGCCACGTCATGCTATCCAAAAATACCTTACAATTCCTCATTTTCACCTCATTGGTCGTCTTATACACATTGTCATTATAAAGCAGCTTCCCCATTGGTTGATTTTCAGGCTCTGCGCTGTGGTTGGTGGGTTGGTTGGTGAACGTTCACTCTGACCACATTCTGAGGAACCTACGGAAGCCCGGAGAGACCGGCTACAAGACACCAACAGGTAAGATACCTTCTACCTGTTACCTGCAGGTTCTGCTGTTCTGGCCAATCAAAAACCACTGTCTGGAAGTTTCCTTGTAAAGCACTGGTCCTGAATCTTCTTCTACATGCAGTGGAGTATCTCATTGGCATGGCTGGCGTATAGTGATGGGAGGAGGGAGAAACTGCTTGTTCCTTTAGTTACAGACCGGTGCATGCCTAGAGGTCTGCACATTCATGGCCTCAGAATGTTGTGCATTTGCCCTGGAATTGCAGGGTCACTGGTTTAAGTCCCACAGAGGCTGATCTCACTGAGTTGCTGCATGCTCTTTCCTGTGTATGTGTGAGTCACAGCCTCCGCACCGGGGAGGGAGAGAGAGAGGGGGGAGAGCAGAGAGAGAGACAGGCTTCCCCTGACCATATACCGTTTTGGACAGCGTGCTGTAACATTTTCACATCCGTTCTCTCACGGCTATCTGAACAAATTGTAAATAATGGGTGTAAAATGTGTCTGTGCTAGCTACAACCATAGTAGCACACTGATGTTCACGTAGAGGTCAAAGTGTTGCTTAACACAGAGAGTTTCCTATTTTCAGAGGATGGAACCAGTATTCTATTAAAATGTGTCTGTGCTAGCTACAACCATAGTAGCACACTGATGTTCACGTAGAGGTCAAAGTGTTACTTAACACAGAGAGTTTCCTATTTTCAGAGGATGGAACCAGTATTCTATTAAAATGTGTCTGTGCTAGCTACAACCATAGTAGCACACTGATGTTCACGTAGAGGTCAAAGTGTTGCTTAACACAGAGAGTTTCCTATTTTCAGAGGGTGGAACCAGTATTCTATTTAAATCCAGGGTTACAGAGCGTACAGTGTCACTATAACACAGCACCAGAGAGGGTAGAAACCATCACCTTGTACCTTGAAACCTGTCCACCCTAAAGCAATAAAGATTTTTTACAGTAGAGACAGAAGAATGCAGTAAGTCTAGCCACACCGTATGAAACATTTTAGTCATTTAGCAGAGCGACTTACAGGAGCAATTTGGGTTAAGTGCCTTGCTCAAGGGCACAGACAGATTTTTCACCTAGTTGGCTCGGGAATTCAAACCAGTGACCTTTCAGTTACTGGCCCAACGTTTGTAACTGTTAGGCTACCTGCCGCCCTGCAGAAACTGCAGGCACTCCTGGAATCCAGAGAAACTTGATCATTTTAGAAGAGGAGTGGTGGAGGCAGTGGCTGTACACAGTCTGTGTTCAAGCAGGGAGGGAGGACATCAGCCATCTATGGTCTTTAGTGCCGTGTTTATGAATGTTATTTTTTATGCTACCGTATTTATCCGTCTATGACCTCAACACTCAGAATTGAGATCAACCTTTAGTGACTTAGAAGTGGTTTGAAACCAGAGAGACCGTGAGAAAGGATCTGAATTACAATGCTACCGTTTCACCGGAAACTGACCAGAGACCTGAAGAAATTGAAACGGGTAGATAAACACTCCTAAAGACAAATGTTATTCTTCCTTTTGTAATAATGCCTCTATTGAAATGCTTTACTTAACTGCAGTTTATAAAATGATATTAGGGATCTCTTTCTCCAATTATCCAACCACAATGAGAATTTGAATGGTCTTGATGAGTCAAGTGTGTGAAATTGTATCAGAGGAGGTGGGGTTTCTGGATTGCAGCCTAGGATGGATAGATCTTGATAGAGCTCACGATCATAGTACAATGGCTATAACCTGGTCCCAGACCTGTTTGTACTGTATAGCCAACTCCTTGACATTACATTTGACATTTGAGTCATTTAGCAGACACTCTTATACAGAGCGTCTTACAATAGTGTGAATACATTTTCAAACTGACAAGCCAATGAATGATCATAGAAGTTGGCAAGACAACACAAACATCTTGGACCAAGATACAATATTTTTTATATTGACATCGGTTGCATTTTATCGAACCGATATCGATATCATGTCTGTTTGAATGAATAACATTGCAACTGTGTGGACTTCTCTTCCACGGCTTTGTGAAATTCAGATAACTGCTTCCTGATTGTCCATTTGGCCAGGTGTGAATGTTCTGGGGGCCTAACCTAGCTTGAATACAATGGCTGTTAAGTATGCTAAGTAGAGAGCCTGTGAGAAGGTTTTGTGACTGCAGGAACAGTCATGAATTCACTTTTACACAATAGTGTAGGTTAACAGCAAGGATAAACCGATAACACAATATGCCGTGCTTATATCGGTACGATTTTGGTGCCCACCACTAAACATTTGTGTATATGTGTATGTGTGTGTGTGTATATGTAAACATGTATTTCTGTTTTTAGTATATTTTTTTAATTTTTAAAAAGTTAAACTAACTCTGTGTTAGCTCCCACGAATGCCATGAATGTCCCGTGTAGCTCAGTTGGTAGAGCATGGCGGTTGCAATGGCAGGGTTGTGGGTTCAATTCCCACGGGGGACCAGTATGAAAAAAAGTATGAAAATGTGTTAACTCACTACTGTAAGTCGCTCTGGATAAGAGCGTCTGCTAAATTACTCAAATGTAGACTTTGGATTAGTGGAATCTTGACTGGCGCAGGTGACAAGGTGGTCCTCTTTAGCTCAGCTGGTAGAGCACGGCGCTTGTAACGCCAAGGTAGTGGGTTCGATCCCCGGGACCACCCATACACAAAAAAAAATGATGCACGCATGACTGTATGTCACTTTGGATAAAAGCGTCTGCTAAATGGCATATTATTATTATTATTATTATTGCAATAGACACAGGCCTGGTTAGTCACATAGCTGTGGTTCTACCCAATGATATAATATATATATATATATATATATATATATATATATATATATATATATATATATATATACACTAGATGACTGATAGGGGGCGCCATTCATTCTTCTGGGGAGTGCCAGTATGGTCAACCGGTGGCTTCAAAGCCTTTTACAGCAATCCAGGGTTTAGATACTGTACATCACGGGTTCTACCCTGTCTTATGTTCTCTCTTGTAGGTGGGCTGTTTGAGTATGTGTCTGGAGCAAACTTCTTTGGCGAAATAACAGAGTGGGCGGGATTTGCCCTGGCGGCTCATTCTGTCCACAGCGCATCCTTCTCCATCTTCACTCTCATTGTTCTTGCCAGCAGAGCCTTCGCTCACCACAGGTAGGAAACACACACACACACACACACACACACACACACACACACACACACACACACGGTTTGGGGTGAACTACACCTTTAACATTTTAAATTTTAGTCATTTAGCAGATGCTCTTATCTAGAGCGACTTACAGTTAGTGAGTGCATACCTTTTTCATACTGGCCCCACGTGGGAAATGAACCCACAACCCTGGCGTTGCAAGCGCCATGCTCTACCAACTGAGCTAAAGGGGACACTTGTAACACTATAATTCTGAATTCATGTCCTCCTGTCTTTCTTTCTCTCTAGGTGGTACCTTCAGAAATTCGAAGACTACCCCAAGTCCAGGAAGGCATTGATACCATTCGTATTATAATGAATCACTACAACGATCCAACCTCCAACAGCAACGAGCTGTGACCCTATGCTACATCATCTGGGGTCTGGTTAGGTTTGTTATTGCTTGTTTGTTTGTGTTCACCTCAAGATAATGGGTACAAGGATGAACACTGAATGAGTACTGACAATTCTATTCACTGGTAAGATATGAAGAGCTCTAGAAACCACAACACCACTGTCAAGATTATCAGACATACCCTGATGAAGGCTACAATGCCAAGAAGAGGCAATTTAATCAACTTTTTTTTCCCTCCAAGAGTGGCTGTATATTTTTCACATGGTTGCACCTGACCTATCACCATCAACTTGAATATGTCCCGCAATGAGATTTACTATAGTATGTGGCGACTATTACTTTTACGATAATCTTCACAACGGACCAACCAACAGTACCAATCCTCAGTACTGGAGCTAGCTTACTATGGTTCTGCTCCATTTCAACACATCCCCTAACATCTACCCTTCCCCTAACTCCCTGCAGCAGCGTGTGCATCTCTCGCTCGCCCTCTCTGTTGCGTGCAGGCTGAGAATAAACCAACCATCAAAACACACAATCTGTCAGTAGAGCTCTAGTTTCCCCGGTGAGACAACCCAGTGCTAGAAGGACTGAGAATTAACTTACTGTCAACACACAGGAATGCGCACACACACAGATTTCACTGCTTGTGGAAGAAAATAGCTCTCTGTATGTGCGTGCACTCACGTGTGTGTCAGAGGAATCTGTCATGAGCAGTGCTGTAGTCTTCCCCTATGAGTTATAGTGCTAGCAGCACTGAGGATGAACCAACCCTCACCACACACACACACAGACAGTGAGGCGACCCCAGCCTTAGGGCTGAAAATCAGGTTATGAACCAGAGAGAGAGATACAAATGAGAGAAATGCTCCATTCAGTCAGTAAGGCCACTGGATTAGCCTAACACCCAGAGCTTGTTGCTGCTATAGAAAGAGACCAAAAGAAAGGGAGAGTGAAAAAAGGTAGAGAGCACTCTTCATTTCTATGGGCAATAGAATGTGTGTGTGTGAGAGATAGTGAAGGCAAGGGAGGAAGAGAGTGATGGAGGGAGAGAGAATGGGATAGTGAGAGAGAGTGACCAATACTCACCCTTTCTTGCTCTGGGGGTTTTCCTTGGCTCTGTCACATGCACTACGTGAGCAGGGAGGGAAGCAGACATTATGCAAAGAGCACACACACACACAGTACAGAAGGTGCTGCCAGTAGGCTCCAGCTTGCCTCATTCCATTACAGAGTTTAATGGGCTGGAAGATGGCTGTGTGCAGAGTTGACTGCAAATGGTGTCTGGACTCGCTCTCTCTGCATGTGTGTGTGTGTGTAATGATGAACACCTCTAGTTATGTGTTCCCTGTCTCCTTCCCAGTGCTGTGTCTTCACATGTAGTTAATAGTATAAATCTGGTAAGTGAGGATAGTATATTTCTAATTGGGCTGCAATTATTTTTGTACTGAAACAATGGATTAATTTCAATGATATTTACATTTACATCATTTAGCAGACGCCCTTATCCAGAGCGACTTACAAATTGGTGCATTCAACTTATGATAGCCAGTGGGACAACCACCTTTTTATTTAATATTTTATTTTTATGGGGGGTGGGGGAAGAAGGATTACTTTATACTATTCCAGGTATTCCTTAAAGAGGTAGGGTTTCAAGTGTCTCCGGAAGGTGGTCAGTGAATCCACTGTCCTGGCGTCGTGGGGGAGCTTGTTCCACCATTGGGGTGCCAGAGCAGCGAATAGCTTTGACTGGGCTGAGCGGGAACTGTGCTTCCGTAGAGGTAGGGGGGCTAGCAGGCCAGAGGTGGATGAACGTAGTGCCCTCGTTTGGGTGTAGGATCAGAGCCTGAAGGTAAGGAGGTGCCGTTCCCCTCACAGCTCCGTAGGCAAGAACCATGGTCTTGTAGTAGATGCGAGCCTCAACTGGAAGCCAGTGGAGTGTGCGGAGGAGCGGGGTGACATGAGAGAACTTGGGAAGGTTGAACACCAGATGGGCTGCAGCGTTCTGGATAAGTTGTAGGGGTTTAATGGCACAGGCAGGGAGCCCAGCCAACAGCGAGTTGCAGTAATCCAGACGGGCGATGACAAGTGCCTGGATTGGGACCTGTGCCGCTTCCTGGGTAAGGTAGGGTCGTACTCTGCGAATGTTGTAGAGCATGAACCTGCAGGATCGGGTCACTGCTTTGATGTTAGCGGAGAATGACAGGGTGTTGTCCAGGGTCACGCCAAGGTTCTTTGCACTCTGGGAGGAGGACACAATGGAGTTGTCAACCGTGATGGCAAGATCATGGAGCGGGCAGTCCTTCCCCGGGAGGAAGAGCAGCTCCGTCTTGCCGAGGTTCAGCTTGAGGTGGTGATCCGACATCCACACTGATATGTCTGACAGACATGCAGAGATGCGATTCGCCACCTGGTTATCAGAAGGGGGAAAGGAGAAAATGAATTGTGTGTCGTCTGCGTAGCAATGATAGGAGAGACCATGTGAGGATATGACAGAGCCAAGTGACTTGGTGTATAGAGAGAATAGGAGAGGTCCTAGAACTGAGCCCTGGGGGACACCAGTGGTGAGAGCACGTGGTGCGGAGACAGATTCTCGCCACACCACCTGGTAGGAGCGACCTGTCAGGTAGGACGCAAATTCAAGAGTGAGCAGCGCCGAAGATACCCAACTCGGAGAGGGTGGAAAGGAGGATCTGATGGTTCACAGTATCAAAGGCAGCGGATAGATCTAGAAGCATAAGAGCAGAGGAGAGAGAGTTAGCTTTAACAGTGCGGAGAGCCTCCGTGACACAGAGAAGAGCAGTCTCAGTTGAATGACCAGTCTTAACCTGACTGGTTTGGATCAAGAAGGTCATTCTGAGAGAGATAGCAGGAGAGTTGGCTAGAGACGGCACGCTCAAGAGTTTTGGAGAGAAAAGAAAGAAGGGATACTGGTCTGTAGTTGTTGACATCGGAGGGATCGAGTGTAGGTTTTTTGAGGAGGATGCAACTCTCGCTCTCTTGAAGACGGAAGGGACATGGCCAGCGGTCAAGGATGAGTTGATGAGCGAGGTGAGGTAAGGGAGAAGGTCTCCGGAAGTGGTCTGGAGAAGAGAGGAGGGGATAGGGTCAAGCGGCCAGGTTGTTGGGCGGCCGGCCGTCACAAGTCGCAAGATTTCATCTGGAGAGAGAGGGGAGAAAGAAGTCAAAGCATAGGGTAGGGCAGTGTGAGCAGGACCAGCGGTGTCATTTGACTTAATAAATGAGGATCGGATGTCGTCAACCTTCTTTTGAAAATGGTTGACGAAGTCATCCACAGAGAGGGAGGAGGGAGGGGGAGGAGGGAGGGGGAGGAGGATTCAGCAGGGAGGAGAAGGTGGCAAAGAGCTTCCTAGGGTTAGAGGCAGAGGCTTGAAATTTAGAGTGGTAGAAAGTGGCTTTAGCAGCAGAAACAGATGAAGAGAATGTAGAGAGGAGGGAGTGAAAAGATGACAGGTCCGCAGGGAGTCTAGTTTTCCTCAATTTCCGCTCGGCTGCCCGGAGCCCTCTTCTGTGAGCTCGCAATGAGTCGTCAAGCCACGGAGCAGAAGGGGAGGACCGAGCCGGCCGGGAGGATAGGGGACATAGAGAGTCAAAAGATGCAGAAAGGGAGGAGAGGAGGGTTGAGGAGGCAGAATCAGGAGATCGGAGGGAGAAGGATTTAGCAGAGGGAAGAGATGATATGATGGAAGAGGAGAGAGTAGCAGGAGAGAGAGAGCGACAGTTGTGACGGCACATTACCATCTGAGTAGGGGCAGAGTGAGTAGTGTTGGAGGAGAGCGAGAGAGAAAAGGATACAAAGTAGTGATCGGAGACTTGGAGGGGAGTTGCAGTGAGATTAGTAGAAGAACAGCATCTAGTAAAGATGAGGTCAAGCGTATTGCCTGCCTTGTGTGTAAGGGGGGACGGTGAGGTCAAAAGAGGAAAGAAGGAGGCATGAGTCAAAGGCAGACGTAGGGAGGTTAAAGTCACCCAGAACGGTGAGGGGTGAGCCATCCTCAGGAAAGGAACTTATCAAGGCGTCAAGCTCATTGATGAACTCTCTAAGGGAACCTGGAGGCTGATAAATGACAAGGATGTTAAACTTGAATGGGCTAGTGACTGTGACAGCATGGAATTCAAATGAGGAGATAGACAGATGGGTCAGGGGAAAGAGCGAATATCCACTTGGGAGAGATGTGGATTCCTGTGCCACCGCTGCGCTGACCAGATGCTCTCGGGGTATGCGAGAACACATGGTCAGACGAGGAAAGAGCAGTAGGAGTAGCAGTGTTTTCTGTGGTAATCCAGGTTTCCGTCAGCGCCAAGAAGTCGAGGGACTAGAGGGTAGCATAGGCTGAGATTAACTCTGCCTTGTTAGCTGCAGAACGGCAGTTCCAGAGGCTGCCGGAGACCTGGAACTCCACGTGGGTCGTGCGCGCAGGGACCACCAGATTAGAGTGGCAGCAGCCACGCGGTGTGAAGCGTTTGTATGGCCTGTGCAGAGAGAACAGGGATAGACAGACACATAGTTGACAGGCTACAGAAATAGGCTACAATAATGCAAAGGAGATCGGAATGAAATTAACTAAACATCTGGGAAAGCGAGAGAGCGGGGCCTCCCTCACTTACGTTTCACTGAAACACTCAACTATAACTCTCCCAACTTCCACTTTAGAAATTATAATTGTTGTAAACTACAGCGGTTCAATGTTTTCTAGGAATAGACTAACTTAGTTTATTCAGCTAGCTAACTTGGTACAGTATTCTTCCGTGAAAACCGTCCAGGGCACCGAATCCTATGACGTCATAGCCAACTAGCATGCCAGCCTCCAATAACACAGTTTAGCACCAATACTCGGTTACAACAAACCACCAGTGTGTTAACACGCCAAACATATCATTCATGTCCGTGTCTAACGTTGTGTAAAGTTTTGGGTTCGTTTTTACAGTTTGAGTGAGTACTTAGTCAACTTATTCAGCCAGTTAGTTAGCTAGAATAGTTAGCATACTAGCTAGCCATTGCTCTCTGCCAACGAACCAACCCCTCCTCCCACGGCACGAAACACAGAGAGAGCCAAGCTAACGTTAACTAGTCACCCATGTCCCGAATTCCCTTGAACGACTCTGGTTACCAGTATGTAAAAACAAAACAAAAATGTCAGGAATGCAATCAATGGAAACAAAATGAGTAACTGAATTGGAAATGCTGAACTGCACTGTGGACTCCCTCTCTGTGTGTGTGTGTGTGTGTGTGTGTGTGTACAGTGTTCTCTCAAGACTCAAGCTATTACACCCATTCCCCCAAGCAACATATTTGTCTGAGGTAAGAGCTCACCTTGTGAATTCCTTGTGGTCTTAGGACAGCATTGCATTTTTACTCACATACACTTAACTCTGAGCTGTTAGCAAGCAGTAAAATGGGTTGTTGGACTCCTGACCTTACCAGGGTCATTCAGGGAGAGACTAGTATCGAGGGGATCAATGACATTCAAAAGTCAGCCAGTTTGTGGTAATACATTCTCTTTTTTACCTCTACAAGGACCAGGAAGTCATTTTGACATAAGAAAAATATATTCTGATATATTCTGATATAAGAGAGATGTGCCAAATGAAACAAGACCTGTTTCTTAATGTAATCAATTAAATGTATATTTTTTTCAATTGCCAATCTATCATGCACAAACTCTGTCCAACATTTTGCCAGGGTTATTCAAATATTTCTCATTACCATGTTGATGACTGATTATTTCAAATTAAGTTTATCTTAGCTGTCTCCTCCTGTTATGATACTGGGTGCTGTTATTGAATTATTTATAATACATATTTTGCTGTATAAACATGGTCAAATATTATTCAAATATTTACTTTGAACAGCATTGGGTTGTTTGTAATGAGTCAAATTGTTTGGCAGCTGAGAGCGAGGTGTGTGTCATTACATTCACATTTTAGTCATTTAGCAGACGCTCTTATCCAGAGCGACTTACAGACACAAAGGCAAAATTGGCTATATCGTAAAAAATCATAAATTAAAATAAGCTTTTTGGTCTTAATTTAAGGTTAGGTTTAAACTTTGTGGCTGTGGTAACTAGGGACGACCGGGGTGTGTTCAAGCCGATCGTTTAAAATTCTACAGACATGCGCACGGCGCTTCGGTTTGAAGAGAATACGCCATATTGAATCACGGTAGACTTCTGCTAGCTGTTTGAAAAGGACAACTCTTCATTTGGTTTGGAGTTACCATTTCTCTGTCTTTGTAACACGGTTTATCACATTTATTTAGTCCGGGCAGTCGTGTATTTTTAACGGCCACATTTATTTGCTTGAAGTGGGTTCAGAAAAAAATTGTTGAATGGATCCGAGGGTGGCTTGGAATCAGCCCGAGCAGAAAGGACCTGCGAACGCTTTATGGATGCGAATCTGGGAGATTTCTCAGGTACGAGCAACCTCCGGCCAGCTTCATCATAATCTGAACCACAACCTGTGTGTGAATTATCCAGCATTGGACGTTTATAAAAATGTTGCGGCATCGAGCAATAGCATTTGCAGCAACACCACCGCTAGCCTGAGCAGCAGCCATCACTGTATTTCAAACGGCACTACTAACCACCGCACTGCATTTTCCTCCTTCGGGTCAACGTTACCCAACGGCAATGTACAGAACATATTGACCCCGTCAAACGCGAACGGTACCAGTGTAACGACAGATTTGGGAGATAGTGAAATGCCCCAAAAGACGGGATCTATCTCGTCTTCAGTGGAATCTGGAACGGATAGTCCATCTTCGAACTGCTCTTTGGGAAGGAATAGCGGTGGAAATGTAACGGGAAATATTAATAAAAACCCTGGAGGTGCCAATCTGTTCTTTAGCTTCAGTGAAAGCATGCATAATAATGTCAACCAATACCACCAAAGGCATAATCAGGATCACCCGCAGTACAATTTCCAACATAATTGTGTGAAGCGTCACCCGCCTGCACCCTTGAATAACCACACTCACCATCCAGGCCGAAGGAAAAGTGACAACAAGGCGAGCACCTATGGGATGAATTACTTGCTTTCTAACTGGACTAATGGCAACTATGTTAGTTCGGGGACTGGGACTCCTTGGAAGACGAGGAAATACAGCCCCGGTGTTGATGGGTGAGTATTTTTGATAGGGCCATTGCCCCCAGTAGAATTGTTTGACGCCAACGCACAGATAGAACAATGAGCCAGATATTTCACCGGATGTATAAATGTGAAACATCCGGTTGGCGTTTCCACTCACTACCAAATATGGGGATGAGAGGAAGCCCATTGGCCGGCAGTGGGAGAAGATTGAGCGAGATGGATTTTTGCCGACATTCTGCAAAATGTGTCAATTAAATATTTGATCAGCAAAATTTCTCATCGATTAAATATTTGATCTCCATGCAGTTTTGTTTCATAAACTGTCATATGTACCTAACAGAGTGGATTGAGTTTTGTAGACTTTACCCTTTGCCAAAGTTCCAAAAAATTGCGTTGTTTAGAAGTGCAAGGGCGAATTGAGTTATTACACACACGCGTTTCACAGAGTAGGCGTCCCCTAACGGAAATATACAATTAAATACTGGAACGCGCCAATGGAATGTCAATAGCTCGTGCGTGGCTCTGCCCACCTTGCTTGTTCTGTCCACTGATTAATTTGCGACCGTTGGAAACAACAGGCTCTGGTCTATCTTGAGTTAGTTATAATCTTTGGCTAACTTGCTAATGTTAACCGCGAAAGCTAGCTATCATGGTTTCCTATTCCTACTACTTAGCTAGCTAGATTGGACTGCGCTCTGCAGTGGCTAGCCAGTTTTTACTTATTAGCAGTGAGTTAGCTAGCTTGCTAAGCAAGTAGCGGCTAACTAACGCTTTGGTATGGTTAGTTTGCTAACTGATTCCTTTGATATTATTGTTGATTAGACTAGCTAACGTTAGCTATATATTTACCTGTTGGTGACCATTGCTATAAAATCAGAGGCTGCAACAAGAGCCTAACTAACTACTATATTAGGAGTAAGAAGGCTATCAGATTAGCTGAAAATACAAAATCATGTTATAATTTTAAAGCTGTTTATATTGCCCAAAACATGCATACAAGAGCTCTCAAATTATTATTTCCTTTAGTATGCACAGAAGCATCCCAAAGGATCACGGGTTGCATGTTTCGTCACAATATTGTTTTGAATGTTAGTTTTGGACTGATGCCCGATTGAGCATTCTACTCAATGCATCGTCAATGATGAAGATTTCATCAAACGTGCATGACAGTGGCTTGGAAATACAAGGAGGCAAATAGTTAGTAGGGAAACCTTCTGTCTTAATTTTGATGTCGCCAGATTGACTTTAGATGTAGTAATAACGTTAGCTAGCTATAATTGAGGAGAGGCCACCGGATTTTAGCTAGCTATTGTTGACGAACTTTGCTACCTGATGAGAACATTGATCGGTCTAAAGTAAATTTGACGACATAATGCAGGCAAAGTTGTTTCCTAATAAATATTTTCCTACTTTAGCAATGTAATTTTATTTCCAGGCACTATAGTGTAATCTAGACGCAATAGTAGTTAGCCTCCATCCAGAATGACTGGGTTTATCACCACATTAGGGCACCTGGCACTATGGAACCACCGGTTTAGGGCGGTTTGAGAACGTTCATAACAATGGCATGACGTGATGGAGGTGCAACCATGAGTACAGGAAGCACCCAATGTGTTGCATTAACTTTTTAAATTTATTTTATTAACTAGGCAAGTCAGTTAAGAACAAATTCTTATTTACAATGATGTCCTACCAAAAGGCAAACTGCCTCCTGTGGGGACAGGGCTGGGATAAAAAATATAGGACTAAACACACATCACGACAAGAGAGACACCACAACACTACATAAAGAGAGATCTGGGAATTTTCTGTGCAAGAATTTGGACCTGGTTGGTCAGGAAAGCAACATTTGCCCCTTGCTCACAATGAAGGAGTTGTAAAAATGAATTGGACCCGAACAAACACACGACACCCCTTTTCAATTGTATATTTTTGTGTTTTACCAGCTGAAATGGTTAGGCCTGCTATATTCTCCCCAGTCTCCATGGACAGTTGTAAAACCCATAGGTTTCATTTGAATTGAACTGAGGAGTACAGTGATTGACCTCTAGTGGGGCCCTTGCACACTGGTGGCATTGCAAGAGCATGCAGTGCCCTGAACCAGAGAGGAAGAGAGGGCCAATTCGGCTGAAAATCTCTATACCTCCAGCATGTGGTGTTTTTCCGTTGTTTCGCCCACCAAGACAGGAGTTTTTGTATGGAGTATCTAATTTGGTCAACAAAAAATGAATGGCTTATTTGCTACGTGAGGTTTATTTGATCTAATGTAAGTTTCGTAATGCTTAAGTTGTTATGAGTGTACTGGACACGTGACATCCCGGCAACTTTGAGAAAAAACTATTTATCGGAGTTGCATATTTATGGTATGAGGATAAAAGCATAGCATCTCTCCATTTGAAATACAGACGGTTGATGTCAAAACCCCTCATAGAATATTCAAAAATGGATTACAATAATGAGATGTATCCACCAATCCAAAGAAAGCATAGGAAGGAGCTGGACAGCCCGCCATGCCGCTTTGTGGACAACGACTCCCATTGCTAGATCGGAGAGACTTGTATCTTGTCAGTATATCCATAATCTTTGCCTGAACTGAAGGCTTTTCAGTTTTGAGCAGAACATTGAACATTTTTAATGGGCCATCATTGTTTCATGGGTGCAAATGTAGGCTAATGTACAGATTGTAATACCTGGTTGTGCTAAAATTCAGTCTATGGCTGCACGCGATCGTTATGGTGTGAAAAATGTCAATTAACATCAGTGTATACAATTTTAGTATAGGTATGTGATCTGTACAGAAATTGAACCCACAACCATGCCATTGCTAATGCCATGCTCTTACAGGACCATGTGTCGTGCTTTTATTGAATGAAGAACAACATTTGAGTAATGTTCCAAAACCATGGGACAGAACCCTAATCAATTATAAGAACTATTCTCTTCTCTATTCAAGTATATTATATTCTAGTATATTCTATTCTATCTGTTCTCTATTCTAGCATATTCTATTCTCTCCTAGTATATTCTATTCTCCACTGAACAAAAATATAAACGCAACATGCAACAATTTCAAAGATTTTACTGAGTTACAGTTCATATAAGGAAATCAGTCAATTGAAATAAATAAATTAGGCCCTAATCAAATTTATTGGTCACATAAACATATTTAGAAGATGTTATTGCGGGTGTAGCGAAACGCTAATTAATCTATGGATTTCACATGACTGGGAATACAGATATACTCTGTTGGTCACAGATGCCTAAAAAAAAAAAAAGTGGGGCACGTGGATCAGAAAACCAGTCAGTATCTGGTGTAACCACCATTTGCCTCATGCAGCGCAACACATCTGCTTCACAAAGAGATGATCAGGCTGTTGATTGTGGCCTGTGGAATGTTGTCCCACTCGTCTTCAATTGCTGTGCGAAGTTACTGGATATTGGCAGGAACTGGAATACGCGGTCGTACGCGTCAATCCAGAGCATCCCAAACACTTCTTGTGAGTATGCAGGCCATGAAAGAACTGGGACATTTTCAGCTTCCAGGAATTGTGTACAGATGCTTGCAACATGATTATCATGCTGAAACAATAAAGGTCATGGCGGCGGATGAATTGCACGACAATGGGCTTCAGGATCTCATCACGGTATCTCTCTGCATTCAAATTGCCATCGATAAAATGCAATTGTGTTTGTTGTCCGTATTTTAATGCCTGCCCATACCATAACCTCACCGCTACCATTGGGCACTCTGTTCACAACTTGACATCAGCAAAACGCTCGCCCACACTTCGCCATCCACGTGGTCTGCGGTTGTGAGGCCGGTTGGACGTAATGCCAAATTATCTGAAAACGACGTTGCAGGGGCAGCTTATGGTAGAGAAATTAACATTCAATTCTCTGGCAACAGCTCTGGTGGACATTCCTGTGGTCAGCATGCCAATTGCACACTCCCTCAACTTGAGACATCTGTGGAATTGTGTTGTGTGACAAAACTGCACATTTTAGAGTGACCTTTTTATTGTCCCCAGCACAAGGTGCACCTGTGTAATGATGATGCTGTTTAATCAGCTTCATGATATGCCACACCTGTCAGGTGGATGGATTATCTCGCCACCATGGGGCACTCTGTTCACAATGTTGACATCAGCAAACTGCTCGGCCCACACAACACTGTACATGCTATCTGCCCGCTACAGTTGAAACCGGGATTCGTCTGTGAAGAGCACAGTTCTCCAGCGTGCCAGTGGCCATCAAAAGGGAGCATTTGCCCACTGAAGTCGGTAACGTCAGGTCAAGACCTTGGTGAGGACGATAAATAATAATAAATAATATGCCATTTAGCAGACGCTTTTATCCAAAGCGACTTACAGTCATGAGCACGCTGATGAGCTTCCCTGAGATGGTTTCTGACAGTTTGTGCAGAAATTCTTCGGTTGTGCAATCCCACACTTTCTTCAGCTGACCGGGTAGCTGGTCTCCGATGATCCCGCAGGTGAATAAGCCAGATGTGGAGGTCCTGGGCTGGCTGGCGTGGTTACACGCGGTCTGCGGTTGTGAGGCCGGTTGGGCGTACTGCCAAATTCTCTAAAACGATGTTAGAGATGGCTTATGGTAGAGAAATGAACATTACATTCTCTGGAAATAGTTGGTGGACATTCCTGCAGTCTGCATGCCATTTGCACGCTCCCTCAAAACTGGAGACATCTGTGGCATTGTGATATGTGACAAAACTGCACATTTTAGTGGCCTTTTATCGTCCCCAGCACAAGGTGCACCTGTGTAATGATCATGCTGTTTATTCAGCTTCTTGATATGCCACACCTGTCAGGTGGATGATTATCTTGGCAAAGGAGAAATGCTCACTAACAGGGATGTAAACAAATTTGTGCACAACATTTTAGAGAAATAAGCTTTTTGTGTATATGCAACATTTCTGGGAGCTTTTTATTTCAGTTCATGGAACATGGGACCAACACTTTACATGTTGCGTTTATATTTTTGTTCAGTGTAGTATATTCTATTCTCTACTGTAATATATTCTCTTCTCTATTCTAGTATATTCTCTATTCTAGTAGATTCTATACTCTATATTCTCTCCAGGGTCCTAGTAAGTGATAGTGACGGTCTCTCTGCGCAGTGTTTCATTCTGAAATCATAGCATAGCGTTTAGGCCTATTCCTAGTGAATAAATAATTTTGCTGACCAGTACTACTGTTGTTCGTCTCCCAGGGGATGTGGATGACTTATGGTGGTATATATAACATTTTTCCTAGATGGCTTCTACACTAATACCACACATATAGTTCTATGGGATGTCTGGGATGTTGATGTTGTAAGGGATGTTGAGCTTATTTGAAAGCCTGTATCAAGTGACTTTGGGTTCTAGAAAAGCCCTATAGAAGTCCCATTTTTTTATTTATTAATAATAATAATAATAATATCAACATAGGACTTGTATAAAAAAATCTCTGCTTCCATGATGGTCTTACATTTTCCCCAAAAAGACCTAGCTACATGGTGACATGATGACCTTTGAATTCATGAAACAGAAAATGTAAATCAACCTATTATTTGACTGGTTTAGTATCGGTTGAGCAACTGTGTGCATGTTTAAACCCTCTCCTCTCCCTGTTCTCCTCTCCCTCCCCAGTCTCCATGAGGAGGTGGTGGACTTCTACAACTTCATGTCTCCCAGACTGGAGGAGGCTGCTATGAGGAAGGAGGTGGTCAACAGGATCGAGACGGTCATCAAGGAGCTGTGGCCTACTGCCGACGTGAGGACACACACACACAGACCAGAGCTGGGCATTGAACCAGCACATCAGACATTTTAGCCATTTGTCTACAAATATTTGTACAATATAGGTTTTTTCTCTCTCTCCAGGTGCAGATATTTGGCAGCTTCAGCACTGGACTCTACCTACCCACAAGGTAAGAGAGCAGCCTTGTTGTGTAATGTGTTGAGTCTTGTTCTCAGAATGTGCTCCAGGTGCTTGGCCACCAGTTGGCCTAACACCATCTTTCTCTGTTGCCATAGTGACATAGACCTGGTGGTGTTTGGGAAGTGGGAACGCCCGCCATTGCAGCAGTTGGAACAGGCCCTCCGGAAACACAACGTGGCAGAACCTTTCTCCATCAAAGTGCTGGACAAAGCTACGGTGAGTTGGTGCTGTGTTTTTTAAGTATGCTCACACGATCTGTTGGGATAGCTCCAATGCTGTCCGAACTAATAACCTCTTAAACTCTGAGTGGTTGTTTTGGGCCGTGTACCCACTCAGTCAATTTCGTTCAGAAAATAAAAAGTGACTTATCATTCGAAAGCTACAGCACTTGTCGTTTTGGAAATCGATCTCAAATCTCACTGCTGACAATGTCATATGAATGCCCCCGCTACTGCCCACCCTACAGGCCATAAGTCATGTGCTATGGTCATATTCATAGTGTGTAATTTAGGTGAAGTCACAAAAAGTGCAAAAATGTTGTATGCCTGGAAAGGGTACACCCTGGTGGTCCTCATAATGCATTTCTTTACCATCCACATTACCTTGACTGTATCCTCCATATTCGCCGTTGATCAATATCACTCGTTTCCAATGGGAAAATAAGTTTGAAGTTTCCTCGCCTGTCTGATAACTAGAAAGTCCCGATCACTAGAGTCATTTTAAGATGTCAGGCTTGAAAATCCGTTAAGGCATTTTCGCACAGTGAGGTACTACCCAAACCAGACGCATCTGGTTTTCGCGTTCTCAAGTCACATCATGTGATCTTCTAGTGGACGAACTGGAAATCAGACATGAGATCTGATCAGTGAAAAGGTTACGACTTCAGCTTTATGTACAGTACCAGTCAAAAGTTTGGACACACCTACTCATTCAAGGGTTTGTCTATATTTGTACTATTTTCTACATTGTAGAATAATAGTGAAGCCATCAAAACAATAAAATAACACATATGGAATCATGTACTAACCAAAAAAGTGCTAAACAAATCAAAATATATTTGAGATTCATCAAATAGCCACCCTTTGCCTTGATGACAGCTTTGCACACTCTTGGCATTCTCTCAACCAGCTTCACCTGGAATGCTTTTCCAACAGTCTTGAAGGAGTTCCCACGTATGCTGAGCACTTGTTGGCTGCTTTTCCTTCACTCTGCGGTCCAACTCATCCCAAACCAACTCATTTGGGTTGAGGTTGGGTGATTGTGGAGACCAGGTCATCTGATGCAGCACTCCATCACTCTCCTTCTTGGTCAAATAGCCCTTCAACAGCCTGGAGGTGTGTTGGGTCATTGTCCTGTTGAAAAACAAATGATAGTCCCACTAAGCGCAAACCAGGTGGTGCAGAATGCTGTGGTAGCCATGCTGGTTAAGTGTGCCTTGAATTCTAAATAAATCACAGACAGTCACCAGCAAAGCACCCCCACACCATCACACCTCCTCCTCCATGTTTCACGATGGGAATCACACATGCGGAGATCATCCGTTCACCTATTCTGCGTCTCACAAAGACACAGCGGTTAGAACCAAAAACCTTACTTTTGGACTCATCAGACCAAAGGACAGATTTCCACCGGTCTAATGTCCATTGCTCGTGTTTCATGGCCCAAGCAAGTCTCTTCTTCTTATTGGTGTCCTTTAGTAGTGGTTTCTTTGCAGCAATTCGACCATGAAGGCCTGATTCACACAGTCTCCTCTGAACAGTTGATGTTAAGATGTCTGTTTACTTGAACTCTGAAGCATTTATTTGGGCTGCAATTTCTGAGGCTGGTAACTCTAATGAACTTATCCTCTGCAGCAGAGGTAACTCTAGGTCTTCCATTCCTGTCGTGGTCCTCATGAGAGCCAGTTTCATCATAGTGCTTGATGGTTTTTGCAACTGCACTTGAAGAAACGTTCAAATTTCTTGAAGTGTTCCATATTGACTGACCTTCATGTCTTAAAGTAATGATGGACTGTTGTTTCTCTTTGCTTATTTGAGCTGTTCTTGCCATAATATGATCTTGTTCTTTTACCTAATAGGGCTATCTTCTGTATACCACCCCTACCTTGTCACAACACAACTGATTGGCTCAAACGCATTAAGAAGGAAAGAAATTCCACAAATTCACTTTTAAGAAAGCACACCTGTAATTTAAATGCATTCCAGGTGACTACCTCATGAAGCTGGTTGAGAGAATGCCAAGTGTGCAAAGCTGTCATCAAGGCAAAGGGTGGCTACTTTGAAGAATAACACATATTTTGATTTGTTTAACACTTTTTTGGTTACTACATGATTCCATGTGTGTTATTTCATAGTTTTGATATCTTCACTATTATGAATGTGAACAAAACGGTAGTATCAAGTAGGCCTAGTAAACAAAATATCAGATCGATAAAGGCATGACACAATCTATATTTAGGCTAGTTACATTAACAGTAAACAAACGCAGTAAATAAAAGGCGAATGGGGATCCAAATAACCAAAACATCCTACTACAGTTAGATGCAGCCATGCACAGCTGTCTTGCCAAATAAATAGGCCTATAGGCCCACATCACCTTTTTCACATCTAGAAAGGCATGGCTCTCCAGGTCAAGGGCACACAGGGCCTCCACCAGTTGGCTGTTGTGTTCGCTGAATCGTTCTGACATTTCACCAATAACAGCATCCAAGAACAGTCTTTTACACTCAGTCTGTTCTCCTCTGTACTGCTAATAACACTAGCACTTTTTACAGCTAGCTAAGAAACTAACTCAACTCTGTAGTGGTGGGGCGTGAAGCAGAGTTGTGTAAAGCAGCTTCAACGGTAAACTTGACCCCGCCCTTATAAATTAAATATTACAGGCAGAGGCGTGTCGTGTTATTCACTTAGCCTACCACCAAAGGAGTCTTACCGAACCGCCCCAGGTGCTTTCCATATCCCCCTTCACACACTGCGGCGCACTCTGTCCATTGGACTGACGCAGTGCAGCAGAAATACAGATTTTGCGGCAACCTGTCACTCAATCATCATTTAAACATTTTAGCAATTTTTATATAGGGACATTAAACTAAAGCTGAGGGGGCACAAGTTTGAACTGAAGGGGGCTAAGCCCTTTTTGCCCCCTTGTGGAGCCGGCTCTGTAATAGTCACGTTGTTGCTGTACACCTGTATCAGAATCCCACGGCACTTACCCTTCTAACAGTACTAAGCATGTGTTTGTAGGACTTACATTTTGATTTCAAAACTATATCTAATTAGGGTAGGTTACAATGTGTGTCGCTTAGAAAATGACACCAAAGGGCATCAGAATTTAACAGGATAAACAAGTAGATGAGACTTAGTTTAATGTTCGACAAGTGTGTACTAAGGATTAGATCTGAGAATTGAGCGGAGACAAAAGTGAAATGGATGTGAAATAAACGTTTTATTTATTTTATGAAAAGTTAATGTTTCTCTATTCTCTCTCCCAGGTGCCAATCATCAAGCTGACTGACCAGGAGACGGACGTCAAAGTGGACATCAGCTTCAACGTGGAGACAGGAGTCAAAGCTGCTCTCTTCATCAAGGACTACACCAAGGTGAGAACACTAGCATTTGTAGTTTTTATTTGAACTTTATTTTCCCAAGTTGTCGCATTAGGTCAAAATACTATTTTTTAAATGGGAGACCTGAATGGCTAGAAGGATCAGTGCAACAATTGTTCCCAGGTGCAGGGTACGCAAACTGCCTTATAAAAGGAATCGAAATAGGCTTATCCCACTGTCGCTCCCATATTGGACTTTCTTTTGTGTTAAACTTCAGGCTACTGAAATACTGAACTACTGTCAATGTGGAATGCATTTACTATCACTGTAGCAACAGAAGCACTACCTCTTCACAACTACAGTCCACACCATACAGTGTCTTTAAAAAGTATTCATACCCCTTGACTTATTCCACATTTTGCTGTGTTACAGCCTAAATCTAAAATGTATTAAATTGACAATACCCCAAAAAAAACGGTGAAAACATGTTTAGACATTTTTGCAAATTTATTGAAAATGAAATACAGATACACTACCGTTCAAAAGTTTGGGGTCACATCATGTCCTTGTTTTCGAAAGAAAAGCAATTTTTTTGGCCATTAAAATAACATCAAATTGATCAGAAATACAGTGTAGACATTGTTAATGTTGTAAATGGCTATTGTAGCTGGAAACGGCTGAGAATTTTAATTTTAATTTTATATCTACACAGGCGTACAGAGGCCCATTATCAGCAACCATCAGTCCTGTGTTCCAATGGCACGTTGTGTTTTCTAATCCAAGTTTATCATTTAAAAAGGCTAATTGATCATTAGGAAACCCTTTTGCAATTATGTTAACACAGCTGAAAACTGTTGTGCTGATTCTAAAGAAGCAATAAAACGGGCCTTCTTGAGACTAGTTGAGTATCTGGAGCATCTCCAATTGTGGGTTCGATTACAGGCTCAAAATGGCCAGAAACAAACAACTTTCTTCTGAAACTCGTCAGTCTGTTCTTGTTCCTAGAAATGAAGGCTATTCCATGCGAGAAATTGCCAAGAAACTGAAGATCTCGTACGCTGTGTACTACTCCCTTCACAGAACAGCGTAAACTCGCTCTAACCAGAATAGAAAGAGGAGTGGGTGGCCCCGGTGCACAACTGAGCAAGAGGACAAATACATTAGTGTCTAGTTTGAGAAACAGACGCCTCAAATGTCCTCAACTGGCAGCTTCATTAAATAGTACCCGCAAAACACAAGTCTCAACGTCAACATTGAAGATGCGACTCAAGGATGCTGACCTTCTAGGCAGAGTTGCAAAGAAAAAGCCATATCTCAGACTAGCCAATAAAAATAAAATATTAAGATGGGCAGTCTGAGAAATTGCTTTTTCTTTGCAACTCTGCCTAGAAGGTCAGCATCCCGGAGTCGCCTCTTCACTGTGTTTTAGGTTATTGTTCTGCTGAAAGGTGAATTAATCTCCCAGTGTCTGGTGGAAAGCAGACTGAAACAGGTTTTCCTCTAGGATTTGCTTAGCACCATTTTGTTTATTTTTTATAATAAACTCTCTAATCCTTGGAAATGAGAAACATACTCATAACATGATGCAGCCACCACCATGCTTCAAAATATGAAGAGTGGTACTCAGTGATGTGATGTGTTGGATTTGCCCCAAACATAACGCTTGTATTCAGGACATAAAGGACATTTCTTAGCCACATTTTTTGCAGTTTTACTTTAGTGCCTTATTGCAAACAGGATGCATGTTTTGGAATATTTGTTATTCTGTACAGGCTTCCTTTTCACTCTGTCAATTAGGGTTAGTATTGTGGAGTAACTACAATGTTGTTAATCCATCCTCAACTATCTCCTATCACAGACATTAAACTCTAACTGTTTTAAAGTCACCATTGGCCTCATGGTGAAATCCCTAAGCGGTTTCCTTCCTCTCCGGCAACTGAGTTAGGAAGGACGCCTGTATCTTTGTAGTGACTGGGTGTATTGATACACCATCCAAAGTGTGATTAATAATTTCACCATGCTCAAAGGGATATTCAATGTCTGCTTTTTTATTTTTACCCATCTGCTAATAGGTGCCCTTCTTTGCGAGGCATTGGAAAACCTCCCTCGTCTTTGTGGTTGAATCTGTGTTTGAAATTCAATGCTCTACTGAGGGAGCTTAGATAATTGTATGTGTGGGGTACAGAGATGAGGTAGTCATTCAAAAATCATGTGCAACACTATTATTGGACTCGAAGTGAGTCCATGCACCCTATTGTGACTTAAGCACATTTTTACTCCTGAACTTATTTAGGCTTGCCATAACAAAGGGCTTGAATACTTATTGACTTAACACATTTCAGCTTTTCATTTTGAATATTATTATTTTAATCTATAAAAAAAAAGATTTCCACTTTGACATTATGGGGTGGTGTGTAGGCCAGTGACACAAAATCTAAATTTCATCATTTAATTTCAGGCAGTAAAACAACAAAATATGGAATAAGTCAAGGGGTGTGAATTCTTTCTGAGGGTACTGTATATATTTTAAATTTGACTCTATACTCCAGCATTTTGGATTTGAGATGGAATGTTTCATATTGGGTGAGAATAGAGAATGTACACCTGCTCATTGGGTCAGAGTGGTCTCATGTGCTGTAATGTAGGCTTTCTACAGGCCAGGGTTTTCCCACTCAAATGAACCTTGCTTTTACTTCTCTAGCCAATCCTATTAGATCTGCAGTAGTTCCTATGCCCTAGGGGTTAGATGGAGATTTGGTGATAGGCCTATAATATGCTGTCCGTAAAGGAATGTCTCTGACGTCCTGAATTCAACGACATAACCCAACATGCTTCTGTAATAGTCACCAGAAGCATAACTTATGATTCTTTGTCCCATTGACAACTGTAGTCCCAAAATCAGCATATGATAGAAAATGAGAACCTGTGAAAATGAGGCGAATTGTATTTCAAGTAGTGATCCTCATACTAAGTTACATATTTTCATTAAATGGAAACTTTTTCCTCATCTAATTTTGAATAATTTCAATTTTTAACCAGTGCTTTGCTCCTCAGACTGTGTAAATTGAGCAGGGATTCGTTTCTCTCTGTACCATTTTTTAAATATCTCTCCCCCCCCCCCCCCCCCAGAGGTATCCCGTGCTGCCTTACCTGATCTTTGTGCTGAAGCAGTTTCTGCTCCAGAGAGATCTCAACGAGGTGTTCACTGGAGGAATCAGCTCCTACAGCCTCGTCCTGATGGTCATCAGCTTCCTCCAGGTACGCGCACACACACTTTGTAATCTAGTATGACAGTGTACAGTTATGGCACTTGTGTTGTCCTAACATGTCTGCCTATTCTCTATCCATCCATTCAGCTCCACCCAAGGATTGATGCCAGTAGCCCCAACATCAACCTTGGCATCCTGCTGATTGAGTTCTTTGAGCTGTACGGCCGCCATTTTAACTACCTGAAGACTGGCATCCGCGTCAAGAACGGAGGGGCCTACATGGTCAAGGAGGACATGACGAAGGTTATGACCAATGGCTACAGACCCTCCATGCTCTGTATAGAGGACCCACTGATGCCAGGTGTGTATGTGCGTACATCTGGCGGTGTGCGGGACTGGGTGTTTGAGCAACTGTGTGTGTTTTCCATTGGTAATGGTGTTGGCCATAGTTTGTATGGGCCGATTCAGGTGTTCTAACCGTGTGTGTTCCAGGTAACGATGTTGGCAGGAGTTCGTACGGAGCCATGCAAGTCAAGCAGGTGTTTGACTACGCTTACATCGTCCTTGGTCACGCCGTGTCACCGCTAGCACGCTCCTACCCCAACAAGGACATTGACAGGTTGGTTCCCCCCATTTTTCAGAAAGTCTTCTGTATCCATCCGGCCTAGAAATGTTTGTACATGAATAAGTACAAAAGTTATCAAAGTAAAGATGGTCAAATAAATATGGTGGTTGTGATGGAAAGTGAAACTAATCCACTGCTGTGCAACATTTAAATCCTTCCCGTTCCTGTTCCTCACTATCCCTGCAGCACTTTGGGGAGGATAATCAAGGTGACCCAGAAAGTGATTGACTACAGGGAGTGGATCATGACTAAGTGGGGGGGAAGGCACCTCGCCCGCATGGAGAGCCGGGGTAAGAGCAGTGTGTGTACGAAATAACCTGTGCGTAACCTCTGCGTAAAATATGTCTTGACTGTCTTGTATGGCCGGTTCTGTATGTGTGTATATTGACCTGTGTGTGAAAGGGTAATCTTTGTTGTCTTGTATGGCAGTTTGGGAAGTGTGTGTTGCTGTGTATAATAACCTGTGTTTCTCTGTAGGTTCCGTCCTGGATCAGGACCCAGCAGGGTGTGTGTTGGGTGTAGGCGTGGAGGAACAGAGGGACTCAGTCTCCCCTCACAGTGCAGACTCTCCCATGTCCCTGTCCAGTCCTCACCAACACTCCTCAGCCTCCTCGGTCTCCTCGCTGTCCGGGTCAGACAACGTAAGGGCACAGACACACACACTGCAGTCTTTATGATTAACTCTATAAATGCAATTGTATGAATGAATTGACAGCTGGTCATGTTTTAACACCTCCTCTCTGCTGTGTGTTCCAGGACTCTGATTCGACGCCGTGCCCTGGCCCTCCTCCGGCGCTGCCCCCCTACACCCTCCAGGCTCTGGGTATGACTCTACCCCTGGGCCTGGCAATGGGCAAGCCTAGCATCAACCAGCAGCACCTCATCATGTCCCCTGGCTCACAGGTACATAACCTAGCATCTACTGACAACACAAAGGTCAGAGATGGGAGAGTTTAGCGTGATTTTCTGGAAGTGGGAGATTAGAAGTCGATGCATGAAGTACAAATGATATCTGGCCAGTTTGTGCAACAACTAAGAGCGTTGAAGCACGAGGCTAAACTTCTCTGCTGTTTTGGTCCCGTAGCTACCACGTTGTAGCAGGGTGAAGCGCATCCGTTCACATCCACAAAGTCTTGCTTCTTAATATCTGCGGTGCTGCTTGTGCCAGCATCATACCGCTGAGTCTACCATTTACATAAACCCCCCCCAAAAGAACAGCATTCCTGAATTTCCAGCACCATCTTATCATTAAGATTTGTCGATAGAGATATACAGTGGTGTGAAAGTGTTTGCCCCCTTCCTGATTTCTTATTTGTTTGCATGTTTGTCACACTTAAATGTTTCAATCAAACACATTTAAATATTAGTCAAAGATGACACAAGTAAACACAAAATGCAGTTTTGAAATGAACGTTGTTATTATTAAGGGAAAACAAAATCCAAACCCACATGGCCCTGTGTGAAAAAGTGATTGCCCCCTACAACCTGATAACTGGTTGGGCCACCCTTAGCAGCAACAACTGCAATCAAGCGTTTGCGATAACTTCCAATGAGTCTTTTACAGCGCTGTGGAGGAATTTTGGCCCACTCATCTTTGCAGAATTGTTGTAATTCAGCCACATTGGAGGGTTTGAGCATGAACTGCCTTTTTAAGGTCATGCCACAGCATCTCAATAGGATTCAGGACTTTGACTAGGCCACTCCAAAGTCTTCATTTTGTTTTTCTTCAGCCATTCAGAGGTGGACTTGCTGGTGTGTTTTGGATCATTGTCCTGCTGCAGAACCCAAGTTCGCTTCAGCTTGAGGTCACGAACAGATGGCCGGACATTCTCCTTCAGGATTTTTTGGTAGACAGCAGAATTCATGGTTCCATTTATCACAGAAAGTCTTCCAGGTCCTGAAGCAGCAATACAGGCCCAGACCATCACACTACCACCACTACTTTTACGCCAGATGTAATGGAACACACACCTTCCAAAAAGTTCAACTTTTGTCTCGTCAGTCCACAGAGTATTTTCCCAAAGGTCTTGGGGATCATCAAGATGTTTTCTGGCAAAAATGAGACGAGCCTTAATGTTCTTTTTGCTCAGCAGTGGTTTTCGTCTTGGAACTCTGCCATGCAGGCCATTTTTGCCCAGTCTCTTTCTTATGGTGGAGTCATGAACACTGACCTTAACTGAGGCAAGTGAGGCCTGCAGCTCTTTGGATGTTGTTGTGGGGTCTTTTTGTGACCTCTTGGATGAGTCGTCGCTGCGCTCTTGGGGTAATTTTGGTCGGACGGCCACTCCTGGGAAGGTTCACCACTGTTCCATGTTTTCAACCATTTGTGGATAATGGCTCTCACTGTGGTTCGCTGGAGTCCCAAAGCTTTAGAAATGGCTTTATAACCTTTTCCAGACTGATGGATCTCAATTACTTTCTTTCTCATTTGTTCCTGAATTTCTTTGGATCTCGGCATGATGTCTAGCTTTTGAGGATCTTTTGGTCTATTTCACTTTGTCAGGCAGGTCCTATTTAAGTGATTCCTTGATTGAGAACAGGTGTGGCAGTAATCAGGCCTGGGTGTGGCTAGAGGAATTGAACTCAGGTGTGATAAACCACAGTTGAGTTATGTTATAACAGGGGGCAAACACTTTTTCACACAGGGCCATGTAGGTTTGGATTTTGTTTTCCCTTAATAATAACAACCTTCATTTCAAAACTGCATTTTGTGTTTACTTGTGTTATCTTTGACTAATATAAAAATGTGTTTGATCTGAAACATTTAAGTGTGACAAACATGCAAACAAATAACAAATCAGGAAGGGGGCAAACAATTTTTCACACCACTGTATATATTTTCTATGAAATATAGTCTATCCCTTCTGTTTTTATTACTCACATCCCAGTAACAGGGATTGTGAAATGGTGATCTAACACAGTTTGTGATTGGACGTCTGATAGCTCAAAATGTCTCTCCCCCCTTCTTTCCAGGCGTGTTTGTCTTTGCCCAGTGGCCTGACGATGCACTCGTTACCTGGCAGACAGGTGGGTATAGACGGGCATCCCCTCGCCCCCTTCTTCCACATGACCCCCCCTACCCACCACCCTGCCCCCTCCAACCCCCAGCCTCTGTCCAGCCCCCACCCCGCCAGCCACACACACCAGGTAGGTGCTGGCCGCAAACACGGCTGCACACTAGACAGGGACAACCTCTCTTCTCTGTCTTTCTCGCTCCTTTAAGACTCTCCTTACCTCTCACTTTCTCCTTTCTGCTCTCTGTTTTGTTTTCCAACTCATCTTGCTTTCTCTCCTCCGTCTCGTTCTCTCCTCCTGTTCTTTCTCTGTTCTCTCAATCTGTCCCTCTTGGTTTCATGATTACATTGTTGTATTGTATATCTGCATGATTGAACTGAGTATAGGATTCCTTTTTGTAGAGCACTTTGCTTTTAGTGTGTGTGTTGATTCAGGTTTCAAACACTCAATGCTTTGAATTCTAACGCTTCATCCCTTCTTTCTTGCTCTCTCTCTCCAGAATGGTCCTAAGTTTCACATGAAAGGCTCCCACAATCCAGCTGTGATCCATAGTCCCGCCTTGGCCAACCACGCCCACCCTCTCTCACACACGCACTCACACACGCAGTACCGCCATACCTGGCGCCGCCGGAAGAGGGACAGCCTACCAGTCAGCCTGAGCAGATAAAGGATAAAACATCCTCCTCATCCTCTCATCCTCCCTTCATCCCTCTCTCATTCTGACTGATAGGGAGGACAGCTTGATGAGACAGTGCTCCCTGCTGTTCATCTTGGAGGACAGGCAGGCAGAGGCACCAGACCAGCATTGGGATTCATTCAACATTTTGGGCTGCTGAAGTTTGGCCCTGAGGAGGGAAAGAAGTGTAGCTCTGGGAAAACTCTTTCTCCATCGCTCATCCTCTCCCAATCTCTGCATGTTTTTTACTGCGCAATGAACCAACGGCCAACGCTACGGGAACGAGCAGTGTGGCTAGCGAACAGAACGCAGCCCAGCCCAGCCCAACGTGCACTGAGACCCCAAAACTTTTCCGCAGCTCTCCAGTCTTTCACTTCCTGTTTGGGATCCACATTTGTTTTCTTTTGGTAATGTTTATTGTTCACATTAATATAATTTTTTTTGCGCTTTGCCCTTTTTCACATACGTTCGAGGAGACTGAGGATAGTGACATCTTTGCCAGGTGGGAGTAGTGAAAGCCCAGTGTCTTGTGGTAAATTGAGTTTATTTTTGTTTTTTTGACTGGGTTGCGTTGTGAAGGCGACAACCTTTGTCCTTGAACCCTGCAGCCAAGCTGTATCTTTTTCAGTGTTCACACAACGGACGGTTTCTCATTTGTGCAATAACGTGTTCTATATATTTTTTTATCTTATCAATCTTTATTTAATGTTGTTATGCGTGTATGTAAAGGCATTTTGGTGTTTCTGTTTTTAAGATTGTAGTTTTATTGTAGTAGTTTTTTTGAAAATTTTGCAAAGAGTTTACAGAACCTTTCCCCAGATGGCCTCCGGTCTGGAGAGTGTGTGACGGAGTGTGTGTCTGTGTCAAGAGTGTGTGTCAATTGGTGAGCTGTTGGTGTCAAAGTATAGTCAACCCCCCCCATGGGTGTTTTATAATGTGTGGAAAGGAAGAATCAGAAGCAGCTAAGTCACTTCAGACTACTGCAATGCAACCTCTATTGTTTGACAGGTTAAAAAGTCTGTAATCTCACATTGTCACACTAGATGGAGCTCTTACTCACGCCCAATACCATAGCTGTAGTTTTAAAAATCCTTATCTTTATTTGGTGCTTGACTGAGTGAGTCAATGTGAGTGTGTGCGCATGTATCAGTCATAGGATGACTTAGTCACCCAACGTTTGTGCCATTTTTGCTACTCAGTCCTAGTGTAGTCTAGGGCTGAAAACTTTCCCATTGCAGGAGTTTAGCACAAGGCCAAGTACATATTGTATGCCCCAAGTGCGTTTCTGTTGGTGTATGTATGTAGGTATGTATGTATGTATGTATGTCTGTCTGTCTGTCATTTTTTAAAGATGTGCATGGTCTAGTAAGTATGAGGGGTGGAGTTCGATAAAGGAACAGCCAAACTGACCTGAACTTGAAGATTGGTGAGTGGTGTGAAATGGCACCCTATCCCCTATGACAAGTAGTGAACTACATAGGGGATGGGGTACCATTTTAGACGTGCCCTAAAAGACTAGGTGCTCTAAAGGGTCTTTCTTAGCGGGGGAGAAAGTTCTGGGGTCGTCCGGAACAGTGGAGGAAAGGGAATAATTTTGATTCCATTCTGGAATCTTGTGTATATTTGATTGCCAGGTACTTCCGCTAGTTGTTTGCAATGCCTTTTCTTTGTGCTTACTTCAGTGTGTGTGTGTGTGTGTCGTCTCTGCAGGCATACACTGTGTGTGGTGGAGGCTCAGCTCGGTAGCTACACACTGACCATACGGTGGTATTACTATGCAAGTGGGTTATTTTGTGTGCCCCAGTATTTCTGTTTCCAATGACAACCACTGCTTGTTGGATCGGAGTGATGTTACTGTAAACTCAAGTTAGAACGAATAGGCCTGTGATTGGTGGGCTAGGCTAAATGGTGGTTAGCCAGCCTCAGCCCAGTTACGAGTGAACCACAAAACTCTGTCTTTGTATGCAAGTCCTGATGTTTTAAGTCTCTAGTTCAGAAAGTCTATGGAAGGGCATGTGCGTATGTATAAGTGGTCGGGTATCTGTATGTCTGGCTTGTCTAAGAGAATAGCATGACTGGTTGTTTTAAATGACACCCTGTTCTCTATAGTGCATGCTATTGTTCCCTAGTGCTGGTCTAAAGTAGTGCCCTATATAGGGGTTAGGGTGTCATTTGAGACAACCACTTGAATAATATAAAAGTGCACATGGGGAGCGACTTGCACTCTGTAGTGGACGACTTCATACCCTCCCTAGTGCACTACAGAGTCCTCTACCCTTACTGAGACTGTGTTAGGCGCCAATGTCACTCTCTGTAATGTTACTATAGCAACTTTTAACCACCAATCAAAACTCAACCTGGCCAATTTACCGCCTTTGACAGGGTCGTCGGTCCCAAATGGCATCCTGTTCTGAATGTAGTGCACTACTTTTGATTAGATCTTTGTAGTCTCTTGTGGAAGGTAGCGGGGCTATGTAGGAAATAGGGTGCCATTTGAGACTTACCCATGTCTGCTTTTAGAGAGTAGAACCAGCATCTGTCAGAGAAGAGCTCAAACACTATTTATCTCTGGTTGGAGATTTGTCAAGCCTGTCAAAGTTGTCCACCATTTTTACAGATTCTATTAAGACTGAAATGCAGTGTGAAGTCTGTATGGATTCAACTCTGTGTGCATCCCAATGGTCTACACAAGCTTCCTCCCCTCCTTTCCTTTATCTGATCTGAAAGAAATTGGAACAGGTGAAAGCCAATCCCTTGGTAGATCTGCCATTTTTTTTTACAAAACTGTACTGATCGGAGAGATGTGGAGGAGAGGAAGCCTCTTTAGACCGTTGAGAACAAGAAACACATGTACACATAGATGCAATGTAATGCACTCCATTGCATCACAATGGGGGGATTTTAAACTTAACGGCTGCTGTTTTGTGAAAGGTGGCGGCTCTTCTGTCGTGGCCAAGTCATCTGAAGAGGAACTCCTAAAATGGTCGCCAAACTAGCAGCGGTCACAGAGTGACAGCCTGGCTTTTGTTTTGAACATTTTTTTATGTACCGGTATATTTTTTTCTATTTTATTTTTTAAATAAACATCTTAAAACTGCCAGTTGTCATCATAGTGATCTTGTCTTGTTTTTGTATGTGCTTAAGTCCCTTCTCTACAAGATGCAGAAAAGCATGATTATAAAATTAGGTCAAATGTGGTCCTGTACTTCTGCTCATCTACACTAGGTGGCACACAAGCTGCACACCCATAGCAAATGTTTCTATAACTAACCCAAGATGTACCAGAGCCTGTCGTTTCCGAATGAATCATAGTGGGCAGAACAAGCAAGGAGGTGGGCAGAGCCAAGCATGAGCTAGTGAGATCCTATTGGCATGTTCTAGTATTTATTTGCATATTTCCATTAGGGACCGCCTACTCTGAACTGCGTGTGTGCAATAACTGAATATGCCCTTGCACTCCTAAACAATGCCATTTTTTGAAACTTTGGCAAAGGGTAAAGTCTACAAAGCACAGTCCACTCTGTTTGTTACAGGTTTTGTAAACAGGAAAGTGTATGGAGATCAAATGTTTCAACGATGAGAAAATTAGCAGAATGTTGGCCAAAATCCATCTCGCTCCATCTTCTCCCACTGCCGGCCACTGGGCTTCCTCTCATCGCCATATGTGGTAGTGAGTGGAAACGCCAACATGTTTCAAACATAAAGAACATTTTTGGAACATTTTCCAAATGAATTAAAAATGAAAAAAAAAACGAAGATGTCTTGCGAATGTCTTCACACCCCAGAGTTAATACCAAAAATGGTGTAATCCCGCTGATAAAGAAAAATATCTTAGGGTTAGGTTTTCAGAAGACTGAGGTGGGTTTTCCTGTCCGGTAATATAGTCAAACAAAGCAGCATGTCTTGCCCTTAACTGCACACAGAGACGCATTCTGTCTCCTAGAGATGAAAATACTTTGGTGCGAAAAGGGCAAATCAATCCCAGAACAACAGCAAAGGACCTTGTGAAGATGCTGGAGGAAACAGGTACAAAAGTATCTATATCCACAGTAAATCGAGTTCTATATCGACATAACCTGAAAGGCCGCTCAGCAAGGAAGAAGCCACTGCTCCAAAACCGCCATAAAAAAGCCAGACTACGGTTTGCAACTGCACACAAAGATTGTACTTTTTGGAGAAATGTCCTCTGGTCTGATGAAACAAAAATAGAACTGTTTGGCCATAATGACAATTGTTATGTTTGGAGGAAAAAGAGGGAAGCTTGCAAGCCGAAGAACACCATCCCAATCATGAAGCACGGGGGTGGCAGCATCATGCTGTGGGGGTGCTTTGCTGCAGGAGGGACTGGTGCACTTCACAAAATAGATGGCATCATGAGGAAGGAAAATTATGTGGATATATTGAAGCAACATCTCAAGACATCAGTCAGGAAGTTAAAGCTTGGTCGCAAATGAGTCTTCCAAATGGACAATGACCCCAAGCATACTTCCAAAGTTGTGGCAAAATGGCTTAAGGACAACAAAGTCAAGGTATTGGAGTGGCCATCACAAAGCCCTGACCTCAATCCTATAGAACATTTGTGGGCAGAACTGAAAAAGCGTGTGCGAGCAAGGAGGCCTAAAAACCTGACTCAGTTACACCAGCTCTGTCAGGAGGAATGGGCCAAAATTCACCCAACTTATTGTGGGAAGCTCGTGGAAGACTACCCGAAACATTTGACCCAAGTTAAACAATTTAAAGGCAATGCTACCAAATACTAATTGAGTGTATGTAAACTTCTGACCCACTGGGAATATGATGTGTGAAATAAAAGCTGAAATAAATCATTCTCTCTACTATTATTCTGACATTTCACATTCTTAAAATAAAGTGGTGATCCTAACTGACGTAGAACAGGGAATTGTTACTAGGATTAAATGTCAGGAATTGTGAAAAACTGAGTTTAAATGTATTTGGCTAAGGTGTATATAAACTTCCGACTTCAACTGTAC